ACAGCAATAATGTTTTTTAATAGGGAAATATTCAATATATTCCAAATTTATTATTACATCAAATGTTTTTAAAGATTTACTTCTTTCCTCTTTTGTTCTAGATCTTCTATTATGATTTTTGAAATGGTTGACAAATGTTTACGAATTAAAGTGTACAAGTAATTTTAAAAATAAACAATATGCTTTTCTTTTTCGTTTCAGAGGTGCAACTTACAATTTTCCAATTTTCTATTTGTTTTTCTATTTAAAATAAATAAACTATATATTTCTTCTCTTTATTTATAATGTTTTTTCATATATTAACCAATTAAAATTTCTTCTTTTTCATTTTAGATATAAAATAATGTTCCAGAATAATACTTATTTAATTATTTACTTTTTCATTTCTATGATACGTTGACGAGAGGTTCGTATTATTTTACTTTTTCCTAATCCTCTGCTATATGACAGCCTGTCAGAGCGGCTTCGTTGCCTGATCCATATAGATTCTTCGTGTTACTCTGTTGCGGCGAAGTAGTGTAGTAGTCGGGAAGGCCTGCATGATGTGCGTGTAGTCCCTGACGTCGTACGGAGGGGATAACTACGTTCACTGCCCTACCAATCCGGCGTGGTCCGCTCTGTGCGTATCCGTATCTGGATACACGGCAGGTCTTTCTGGTCGCGCGCGAATAGTAAATAATCAATAGTTATCAAAGCAATTTATTTGAGTAAATACTAGAAGAAGAAGAAAAAGAAGAAAAACAATCAATGAAATATTTTACTGTTTCTTTCGAATTTTTTCAAATGTTTCTCTATATTCAACGAGATGTGGATGAGTTGAAAATAATTTCTCTTCACCAATTTCAACTGCTTGTTGAACACATTTCATTGCCATACTATATTTTTGAGTTGAGAAATATAATTTCGACATATTGTGATATATTACAGCTAAATCAGGATGATTTTTTGCCAGTTTTTCTTCACGTATTTTTAATCCTTTTTGATAATATGTTAATGCTGTTGTATAATCTTTCATTTCACGATAAGTTTCACCTACATTCATGTATGTTGTTGCACAATCAAGTGGATTACATTTCACATTCTCTTGACTATTTAATGCCTTCTGATGAAATGCCAGTGCTTTTTCATAATCACCCATTAGTCGGTGAACATCACCAATATTACTATATGTAATAGCCCAGTTAGGATGTTTTTCTGGTAGCGCTATTTCCAATATTTTGAGACATTTTTCAAAGTAATCAAGTGCCTTTGAGTACTCTTTCAAATACCGGTATACTCTTCCGTACCGACTGAATGTAACAGCAAAAGCTTGATTACTTTCTTCAAATGCTTCTTGTTGAATCTTATGAGCATTTTTAAGAGCCTCAAGTGCTGCCGTATAATCTCCCATTTCTTCGTAGCAGGCTACAAAATTCAAGTAACTAGCAGCCAAATCGGGATGAGTCGGAGGCAGAGATATTTCTCTTATTTTATGTGATTTTTCGTAATATTCCAGTGCTTTCGAGCATTCACCCATGCTGCTATACACTCCACCGATGCAGCTGTACGAATTAGCCAAATCGTGATGAGTCGGAGGCAGAGCTTTTTTCGTTATTTTGAGTGATTTTTCGTAATATTCCAGTGCTTTCGAGTATTCACCCATGTTTTTATACACTCCACCGATGTTACCATAAGTAGGCGCTAATGAAACATCATCTTCTGGAAGCGCTTTTCGGTTGATTTCGAGTGATTTTTCATAGAAAGTAACTGATTGTTGGTATTCACCTTGGCTGTGTTTCATCATTCCAAGCATGTGATAGATATGTGCTCTCTCACTATCATCAGGAGCATTCTCGAGTAATTTATTGTAGAGTTCCTGAGCTTGATAGAAATAACCCACTTTCAGCATTAATTGACCCATTCGATACCATCCACTACCGCTGATTTCCTGTTTGATGTTATCAGTAAGACCAGCCAGTTGTGGATCACTCTCGTCAGTAATAGTCAATTGTACTTCCCAAAGACGACTATACTCAGGCGTCTGTTTAATTTCACCAACACGAAAAACAGTGTGCATTGCAAATAATATTTCGTGTTCTTGTGGGAGCGCACTGTGCTCATCAATCATTGCAAATGGTGTAATTGAAGTTGATATTTTAGTTTGATAGATACTGATAATAAAAAGGACGCCTACAGTATCGGTCTCGGCACTCGATACACTTTCAGCAAACATCGTAGAGAAGTCTCTATCTTTACTAGTCGATAAGAAATTGTTGAAAGATAGCAGACCACCTTTTGTATCAACCGGATGTTGAAAGTCTTGTTGACTGAGCCCTTGGCCACGATACACGGTAAACACTTTCTGGGAATCTGCCAACTGTTCCTGGTGCAATTGCTTCAGCTCAATATGTAAACGTCGAATAAAAAATCCTAATTTTGTCATCACCTCCATATCAAGCATTCGCAAAGCACGGTTAAACATACCATAGAGAAACAATTCTTTTGTATACCACCAGACTGCTGATTTTTCGTAGTAATTACGCTTAAATACATCTATGTCTTTTTCACGAATTTTTTGTTGCTGGCAAAAGCTCGCTAAAGTATTCATAGATTTGCTGTCATCGTGATCAATTTCTAATATGATATCCTTGAAAATCACCGAGTACATGTAAGATGGCGGTAATCGATCAAGATTTTGTTCGCTGGCTAATGCTTTTGATATTTCTTGCTTTGGTATGAAGCTCATCGGTATTGCATTATGGTCGCATGATTATGTCGCCTTTGCTAGTTGCATGCATATAGGCTGTATTGAGTCATGAATCCCTCTCACTTTCGACCATTCATTCGCCCATACTTTGTGGTCATCTTTGTTTGAACAGAAAACAAAGATCATATCAAGTTGAACTATATCATGTATAAGCGGCACTATCGTTTGGCCAAGTGACACAGAAGTGATTAAATAGATTTTCTGATCATCTATACTTGTTAGGTAATCAACACATTGGTCGACGTCAGTAAATGGTTCTACTGTCACGATAATCTTTCGAAGTTCCGTCAATGATTTTTGAAAATCTTCCGTGTTTTCATCAATATTGACATCGAGCCATACTAAAAGGAAATTTTGCACGATTCTTCTCGGTCGTGCTCGAAAATCTTCTGAGGAAGTTTCAACAGTGGCGCTAGTAATGGCTTGTTTTGATGCTGCTGAAACCACGTTTGTACTGTATTCTGCAGATGTTGCGCTGCTAACTGTAGATGATTTGTTTTTATCCATGTTGTATGTATTTAAGAGCTTTTACTAATATAAGAAAGAATGAATTAATGGAATGAATAACTAAGCAGTGCTCTTTTAGATGATTGAGCTATTACTGATGTAGCAGTTGCATAATACCTATCCAGCGGAATGCAATGGTTGTTTGAAAAAAGAAATACTTATAGAATAGAATTCTTGTAAGCTTAAACTCTGAAATGTGCTTGTTTGCCATTCTGCAGGCTTCCCATCTAACTCAGTTAATTATGACTTCAGGCAAAGACTTATTTTCTAGTTGATACCCATGTCGCGAATACCGCTTCAATTTTTGCGGTAAACTGCGGTAATTTTAGAAAAGCGGTGAATTTGTATGAAATGGGAGCCGGTAACCGGAGCGGTAATACCGCGATTAACCGCTAGTTTTTCCGGTACCCCTTTTTTACCGTCATCATATAGGAAAAAAGATGCCTAAAATAGCCCAATCAATGACTTTTAGCAACAATTTTTTATAAACGCTCAGCGAACCGGTTAATCGAAAAATACCGGCGGTAAACCACGGTGTTTCCCGAAACCCCTGGTTTACCGCGGTAAACCGTCAATTTTACTCCGGTTTTTCCAACATGGGTAGCTCATGAAGTTCTTCACTATTTACTCAAATTTTGTTTGAGACAAGCTTTGATACCAACCGCATCCATGGAATTCAAGAAGTCAATATAAGGAAAGCATTTTGAAAGAGATTCAAACGATAGTGATCATTGTGCCAAATGATTGATACAGTTGTGATTCTTAATATAAATGCAGCAGATCAGTATGGTACCAATTACCATAGTACTAATACCTTAGTCATAATACTAGCTAAAGACTAAATAATTTTCACATGCGTTGACAATCAATTGAAAGATTGGTAGCTTTCATCCTTTCGCATCGAAGTTTCTTTTGAGTAGATCCAGCATTTTATTTTATCTATCTCTTAAATCAAATGTATGTTCGGAAGAAAATTCAACAGCTAGATATGTCTAGAAACCCTTAATCTTTTATCGAAAATCAATCTCTTCACACTAAAGACCATTCATTCTAATTTTTCTATATTATCTATAAACAATTAAAGTGGAATAAAATATACTTACAAAGTTAGTGATATTGAAAAGTGCGAATCTTTGTCTGTTATATCCACAATGGCTTGTACACCATATTTATCGTTGACGAAATTACTTGATTTTTTCCACCTTATTTTTGTCCACTTGAATCAATCAACCGTGTTATTTGCAATAGGCAAGCAGTATTTTTTTTCATATATACGCTCGTCACTGCATGTTTTTTTTTCTCTTTTGATCTTCTTCCTTTTTTTTTGCTTGTTTGCGATTTTGTTTTATCATAATCAAAACAAAATTATACACTGATATATACATAAAAAAATAAACCACCTTTGAATTTCGAAGTTTCCTTTTTTGATGAGTAAAAGAAAACTTGATTTTTTGCTCTCGTATATGAGAAATAGCTGCACAATCAAGACTTTCTATAGGCAAAAAAGAATATCAGTGAATTATAGGTCAAATAAGACGACGTCAGATATTTTTGTTGAACAAGTCTATTAAAATAGAATCGTATAAAATTGGCTGAAAGAAAAACGTCAAAAGTCAAAAATGTCGAAAATGCTATAGATAGAGTGTAAAACCAGCTTTTCAACAATCCTATATGGACAATCTGTAGGAGTATCCATCGTTGTACTTTTAAATGGATAGCGTATGCTCAAACTCGATTTATAGCGCTCTCGACATTTTTTACTTTCAACATTTTTTCTTTCTGCCAATTCTATGCATACCCTAGGAGATTATTCAATCCGAATATTTTGCAATGAAATATTTAATATGATAATTATTATTATCACTTTTAAGTTAACGATAGAAAATTGCAATTTACGTTTGAGAAGCTATTTCAGGAGATAGGATTTTTTCTTCGTGATCGGTGTCCTTTATAAACTGACTTTGTTATGTTGAAAAATCAACTAAATTATACTTTGATATTCTTTTAAAATTATTTTCAACAAATCTTATTCATATCTATAAATAAAAGTACAAAAAGAATTTAATTTAGACAAATGAAATTATTTCACGCATACTATTGACCCTCTATAAAAAAAAGTCATGGAATACGTAGTATCTTGAAGCTTTTAATTTTGTTTATAAATAAACAAGACATGCAGAATATCTGTATAGGTGCTCTTGCTGTAAACGATACTCTTTTATAACACATTGGTAGAACTGATAGTATGTATCAAAGTTTTATCATAAGAAAGTTCTAGAGAATAACATCGGCATGCATCGATTATTCAGATTCTACAATATTATTTCTATTGAGATGACTGACTGTTCATCGATATCTTAAGATAGAAAAGCAGAAACACGGAGAAAGATCAACAAATACGAAGTTCTATTTATTTTATTATGTTGTCAAACATTCGCAAACTGCTGGACTCCATAGTTGTCGATGAATCAAAGGAAAATTACAAATCACCCTACTGTTTCGAAACATATCAGCAATGGATTGAAGTGAAAGGGAATGCTAGAATAAGTTCTCCTCTTGCTATTTTCACTTATTTGAACTAAATCTTTGTCGAAAAGATTCTCCGTATGATTCTCAACAAACGAATACAATAGAACAAAATATAAATACTCCATTCTAGCGATATATTTATTATATACAAGGAGAATTATCTAACTAAAGAAAACACTTTTCTTTTTATTTAAGAAAGAAATAAAATAGATCTTGTGGATGTTCACCAACTTGAAATACATGAATCACGCATTAATACTCCAGTATGTGGTTGTTCATCTTTTTCATTACTGGGAATTTTTTCTTCTTCCAACCATCACTAACTCTCTCTGCGTTGTTTACTGTAAAAGCCTTATGCCTTCTTCATCAAATATCAGTATAGATTTCTGAACGTTGCTTTACAGATAAAAGACTTTTGACTCTGTACAACAAGTCATTACTTTTTGTCGAAATTCTTTAGAAAATTCGCATCGTATTTTGTATTCGGATGTAGCTCGACTGCCAATCAAATTTATCCTTCAAGTGCATCGTTAGAAAAAATAAAATTACGTAATGAAATGTGTTTAACAGATTCATTGTTAAACAAATATACTGACTAAATCTATGATGAATTTTACAATTAACTTAGATTATGTTCTTGTCTGCTGTTAAAAATACTCTTCATATCAATTTTGCAGCATTGAATTCTGTTCTTCTCTTTCATTTTCACAAAAAACAAATATTGAAAATTTAAATATAAATAAATTAACTTCATTTTTATTCTTTGGGTCATCATTAAAACTTCAACAAGCTGGCAGGAATTCTAACAAAGTACTGCAATGAAATTCTCGAATCAAAGTTTTTCGTATGGAAGAATCATGCATTCTTCCAGTGACTATTGTGTTGCTTTTCAATCATTCACAATAATTTGTTTCTGCCAGTATCACTGACAAATAAGATTCAATGAAAAGATTGCAGCATTCCGCACCAATCGTGACTTCTGTTAAACGGAATCGATCACTGAGTCGAAGTAAAGTAAGATTTGAAAACGAACCTTATTTTATTTGTTCCTACTAATATTTGATTAGGTCGAGCCCAATCCAATATCAAGTCAACTCAATGAACGTGTGCTACCATCGCGTACAGAATCAATAGCAAAACCAACTAAAGCGCTTAACAAATCCAACATCGTTTCAGAAAGCAAGATATCCTTTGCAGTTGATGAATATTCTTTTCTAACATCTAATAGGAGACCTTCTCCTAAACCATATCCTACAAATTCATTTGATTCCTCAACAACTTCTAATAGGACTCAACATGGTGGTCGGTGGTAATATGATTGACAACAATAGTAATAAACTTTTCCAAATTCTACAATCTATTTTAGGTTACCTTCCAGCAAAACTAAAATCATTTTATTACTCGTTATTTTCTTAATTGTTTGTGCTGCAATTATTCTTCCGCCTGTGCTCACAATGGTGATATTTGGGAAGAAAAAAACATCAGGCAAGATAATTGTGGTTATTCAAAAGTCTTAGTTGATTTTTGTTTTGTTATTGTTGAATAGGCACATCTCGTGCAGACTTGAACGTTTCATCATGCTCAAATATAGCGACGTGTATGGGATCTGAAAATCAATATCCAATAACATCTGGCGCTATTCTATATCCATTCGATGGTAATACCCGAGATGCAAGTCTACTAGCTAACGGTAGTCCGGTTGGCGCATTCTTACTACTCAGCTATAATTACGGTGCCTACTCTGGATCTGTGATTCTATTAAATGCCACTCAACAGTAATATGTCAGCATTCCATTCATCGATTTTAGAAATACCAGCTTTACACTTGAAGTGTGGGTATTACCAATAAATGCCGCAACAAATAGTGGTCTACAAGACGACTTTCCTATTTTTGGACAGTGTGATGGATATCTTACATGTTTATTATTAACTTTTCGTTCGGGTCGTATTCAATTAAGCTTTAATTCCATGGCAACAAATGTGACTCTTACTAGTTCAACACTGATCCCATATTGGAACTGGATACATGTAGCTGTTGTATATGATATTACTATTTATCAACAACTCATTTATATTAATGACATTATTTATACAGTATCTGAAGGTATTGTCACGCCATTTCAAAGTTCTTCATCACTTGCTAGTACTACTATTGGACGACAACATCATCGATTTCTATTTTTCTATTCAGAGTATGATTGATCAATTTTTGATAACACCACAAACGGCTAAATCATCTTGTCAAATATACAATGACGCTTTATTAGTAGCATATTTCCCGTTCGACACAAATAGGACTTTGAACGATCGGAGCGCCAGTGTTAGTCCGAGTACCTCGTCGGGTACGAGTATTACATCTGGCTATGTTCAAGAAGCATTATGATTTTCAGCAATTACAAACAGCTTGTTTTCCGCATTTTCGCCGATCGCTTACGTTCACAATATTGCTATGGGTAAATTCAACAGCTGTCTCTGGTGGTGGTACTATTGTTCATGTGTCTTCGGATCAAAATGGAAATGGAACAATAGTCGTCCAAACGGTACAAAATAGTACTCTCACAGCAGCTTTTGCTGGATCTATACTAGCAACAAATACATGGACTCATTTAGCGCTTGTTTTCAGTAGTCGAAATGGGATACGATTTTATGTTAATGGAACGCTTAGTAATGCACAACCTAACATAGCGAATATTCTCGCATTCTGGTCTTTCACTAGTTCACAACTGTATATTACACTTGGTAACTCACAAATTACAGCAGCTACAGTCCCGTCTTGCGAAAAAGGTACACTACCGATCGTTTCAGGAGCTATCGACGAATGTCGACTTTGTATGACTGAACTGAACGGCGAAGAGATTTGCACACTTGCAAATCCGTAACAATATCATCATCAAACAAACACGATCAATATTTCGATTCACTTCGAATAATTAACCTAATAAATTTAACCTGAAACTTCTTCTGCTTCCTTGAAAGCTTTTCATTAGTCAGTAGTGTTACATCGCGGCAACAACGAAGTATTTTAATTAAAAAAGCGATCTTGTTTTTATAGAAAGAAGAAAAATAAATAAATAAGTACAGCCTATTTTTCATTTGATTTCAACTGCAGAGAATTTGAAGTACGCAAATAAAGAACACACAAGAAATAATTGTATTGCAATCATCAATTGTTCACATGAATTCATAATGCCATGCAAAAGTCATTTCGATTTGTGTTCAAAAAATACACAATGGAAATTATCTCGTAAAATCATTTGTTTTTTAAACAAACGAATCGTATAATGAAAGAATGAAGAAGCTTCATAGAATATGAATGTTTGTTTATTTTGCATTATTATCACAATCATGAATGAAGACAAAAAAAAAGACATCCTTGCATGCATAATTCTTGACTAGACATGAATTTATTTGTTGCAGCGAATTTTTGTACATGTTCGCGGTCAACAATTGAATTGAGAATATCGATGATTCGATAAAAGCATGTGAATAATTTCTCTATCATTCGTTTGTTCAAGAGATATAAAAAGATCAAAAGACAGCGTAATGAATGAGCAGCTCTTATTCTAAAGAGATAGATGAAAGAGAAGCGGCTGCTCGCAACAACATATCAAAGTTTTTATTCATCATCACGAACAACAAACCATGATCAGTAACATAACCGAGTGAGTTAGATCAGCTCTGACAGGCGAAGTTGTCTGTTACATTTATTTCGATGTAACTTTTTTTTTGTATCAATCTAACGAAGTCTCATGTATGTGTCCTCGTTAAAATGAGATTAATATAAAATAACTTGCGAGACTTCGTTCAATTTACATTTTTATCGCGTTTTCACAATAGAAAATGCAACGTTTTTTTTCCGAATAGAATCATCAAGCTTATGTGAAGCTGAGTGCATCGAAGCATATTATCGTCATAATCATATTGGTATGTTAATTATTCGCTTCTCGCGCGAGCAGCCATGCTTGACTGTTATTCTTTCCCCTGATCAATCTATTTGCTATATATACATATATATTTAGATTTGAACTCAACAGTAACGATGAACAATACGACACTAGAATCGCTATCCAACGAGTTACTTCTTGATCTATTCGAATTATTCGATGTAGTTAATCTTCTTCGTGCTTTTTCTGGCCTTAATACTCGTTTTAATTCTCTACTTTATACTGATGTTCGCTCGTATCGCGTCGATTTACGCTCAATATCAAAAGAAGATTTTAATATTTTATATCCCGCATACCTTCCTTTGATATCAAATCGTATCATTTATCTTCGACTCTCTGATGATGAAGATACACCCTATCAGTGTATTTATTTTCAATCAACTGGCTTTACGTTGAGTCGATTTGATAATCTTCGTTCATTAACGTTGAACAACGTTAGTTCAGATTTGAACCTCAATCAACATTTTTTTTCTGACCTTCATGAGCTTCATAACTTAACGAATTTAAAATTTGCCCATTGCCGATTGTATCATCTTCATGTGGAAGACTTTCGAGGTGTCATTGATCAAATTTGGAGTCTACCAAAGTTGACTCATTTATATTGGGATTTCACTTTTAAATATGAACGTCATTTTTTGATACCTACTTGCCTATCAACCTCGTTACAGTACTTAACTATTCGTAACTATAATTGTTGTTCGTATAATTTTTCTCGTCTATTCGAAAAGACACCTCGTTTACGAAAATTTTCCATATCATCAGACAGTAATGAAGATGATGATTTACCAATTAGCCGTGAATTTCTACCGGCACCTCAGAGTTTATCCGTAACAAGACTTATTCTATTGTCAATACGTTCACTACCTCTAATGACTAGTCTATTTAAATTATTACCTAGTATTACGCGTCTAAAAGTCGAAATATATTCTATTACCTTAGATGGACATCAATGGAAAGAGATGATTGTTAACTACTTACCTCAACTTAGAGATTTACAATTTAAGATAGATTTGGATCTTTGTCGTTCGATTGATGATTCAACAAATGAAGACAAAGTTGATCAATATCTATCTACATATCGTACATCGTTTTGGATCGAACATCATCAATGGTTTGTTCGATGTCATTGGAGTCAATGGAATGAATATCTTCGAATTAGTGTTTATTCATTACCGTATGCGTTCGTTTATTTTCCTCTTTTCGATAACGATCATAATTATCATACAAAATCGACTTGTTCATCTGATATACATCATTCCTACGATTCTGTTCGCATCCTAGGATATGAACCATGGATGTTTCACGATGAAGCGTTATCTCATATTCAACTAATCAATATCGAAAAATTATCCCTTCAACTTCCTGTTGATCAGCAGTTTTTCTCAATAATTCCTGATCTTGAAAATTTACTGTCACTTACTGTAGCAATTCCGACTGAAAATCATCGACTACAATTACAAGCGTTACTTGATCGTGCGCCTCGTCTATTCTCATTAGCATTCAAATTTTGTGTCACTTCTGCAATGCCACCATATCGATATACAAGTTCATCAATATGTCGACTTGATTTACAAGGCTATGATCCGTCGCGTCGCCGCCATCGCTATGATAGCAGACAATGTATGGAATTAAGTCGATCGTCAATAGGTATTCAATGTCGAATACTAGTCATTGAAGTAGAAAAGCCCAAGTGTATTTTGCAATTAATTTATTCAATGTTAAATCTTCGAACACTACATGTTTTCTATGAAAATGATAAACGCAACAATCAATATGATCTTGTAAAAGTCTTACAGCATTATTTACTGTCAACATGGACAATTACCAGATTTTGTTATGGACATATCATTATTCAATCATGACTTTTTTCAAAAAAACTGTAAATTTAGTTGAACAAAAAAAGAGCATTTAAAAATAAATGGTGAATAATTGATTCTAACTATTTTTATTTTGTGGACATGCGTGAAAAGGAAAAGAAAATAAGTGTATTGATGTTTTTTTTTCTTATTTTGTTAACGAAGAGGAAGAAAACATGCAAAAAAAGGTAATCTTATCGTATCCGGTGTTGTTGTTCAATTTAGACGTAAACAATGGCAAGATTTTTTTCTGAAGTGTGTCTCTCACCGCTAGTAATGTTAAATAAATTAAATTCGGCATATTTTATTTTAGATAACTATGTCAGAGAGATTTTATCACGGTGATCCTAATCGTGAGAATAACTTTTAGATTTATCCACATCATAAACCGTAACAGAATTCTCGTTCGGATAGAAATGAAAGAACTAAAACGAGTAATTGTATTCCAATCATTGATTGTTCTCACAGATTCATCATACCATACTAAGATCATTTCAATATGATTAACAATGCGCAATGGCAGCCTAGTCTTGCTTAAACAATCATATAAACACTACACGCTTCAAATATATCTCCTTATACTTGATGATCATTATAATTTTGTAGCTTTTAAAGTTAAAATGCCACCCGTTCTCAGGATTTTATAAATACTCGCTATTATTTTGTTAAACAGAAATATAAAGTCGAAATAATTTCTTATAAACAATACGAACCATACTGGCTGACAATGAAGTTCTTTAGCAGCTTGACGTGCTATGAATAAGAATCCACTAGCGTCAACATCAATTGGCATAATATTTGATACTGTTATTCCGCCGCCATAGCCAATATCATTTTCAAATTAAAGATTTCAGAAGGTTCTACAGATCCAAGGCATCCACGAAGTCTAATATAACATAAAAAGATCTGTTTAACAACAAGTCAATGAGAATTAAAATAAAAGCTTATTGAAAAACATGTCAAAGTAAAATTTTAAACAAACAATTGTCAAAATATTGAGACTCGACAATTTAACTGATTAAAAATTAATACTGTTAAAAGTATTGAAATCTAATTATTATGTTACTGATTGTATTTTTAATACTACTGAAATTTACTTGTTGTTCAAGCGTTGATAACGTATGTGTGAGTTTGCAGAAGATCAACAATATATTTTGAATGTGCTGTTAGTAGATTTGAAAATGACTAAAAACTATATATACGAAAACAAAAAAATAGATATTTTCCTTCGAGTTTATTTATCTTTTCATATTACATTGCATACATCATTATATACGTTTTCATTATGTTCAGATAACAGAACATAAACTTGAGAAATAGAATAGGCGTGAAGAAGAATTTTCTTTCTTTTTAACTTTTATAATTGATGACCGTAATTCGTTCTTTTCGGAGCCATAAATACGAATGATTCTCGCATGGAAATCATGCAGTTTTTGAATCGATTTCTAATCTTTTCTCTTTTTCTGTTTTAGGTACTTATTATTTGATCAACACAACAATCCCAATCTCAATCTCACTAAAAAAAAAAGAATGTGGGTATTCGTTTTCATTTTTTTACTTGTTCTTTTACTTGTTGAGAGAGAGTGACTATTTTGTGCCGGACTTTCGAGAAGTCTCTAAATACTCGATGAAAAATCATCTAGGTGTCCGCGGCACATGAACTGATCCCTGCCAGATTCACTCAATGTTGCACGCTGTATGTATGTTGTTTGAGTTTGTGCTAGTAAGTACATGCATCGGGAACTCGCGATGGCTCCACGCAAGTGGTTTCTGGCCGAGTACGCGTGAATACCAAAGTGAAAGCAACAATTTATTTTCAATCGATTCAATTTTTTGCAAAAGGAGAGAAAAACGAAATCAATTCACGAGTCTATTCGATAGAAAATCGTTGAACACGATGATTACTCTGATCGACGACATACAGATTACCATGTCGATCGAAAGATAAACCAGTGGGATAGATGAACTGATTTGCTCCTGATCCTTCGCCATTTCCACCCACAATCACAGTGCCTTGTTGCGCTCCTTGAGTCCAACTCATTATCCGGACATGCACCGAGTCTGCTGCATAGAGAGTTCCCAACGTGTCGACAAAGAGTCCGGTAGAACCACACAATTGTGTCGTAGCATTATTCATCCAGTCGTGACATTCAGCGACGATGATACCTTCTTTTGCGCCTTTATTCCATTGCATTACACGACTATTATTGCTGTCTGACACGTAGACATTCTGTTGTCGGTCGACAAAGACGTAAGTCGGGTAGTAGAGTTGATTGAGACCAGCACCGTTGCCATTTCCACCAGCCACGACAGTACCATTCTTGTCTCCCAGTCGATATTGTTTGACTTCAGGTATAAAGTAGGCAGTGACGTAGAGATATCTCTGATCATCCATAGCCAAATTAGCACACAAGATGTTGTCGATGAGAATTTCTCCTTGTATTGTGCCACTACGACGGGACCATTGTACAACTCGTAGATTGCTCGAATCACAAATAATTAGACTATCCGTCTCTTTGTCGATCAATACATCAGTTGGATTTTTCAACTGATCCAGCCGCTCTCCTGGACCATTACCACCTGCAACGACTTGTCCGTTTTTATCTCCTGGCTTCCATTGCATGATACGATTATTCCATGAGTCAGCGATGAGCACTGTTTGGTCATCATCAACGAAGAGACCTGCAGGGTAGCTGAGTTGATTGGTGGCATTACCATTTCCTTCACCTCCAGCAACAGTCATCCCGTACTGTGCCCATTTAGCATTAGCAGGAATATTGGGAATAACTATAAAAAGCGAAAAACAAAGAAAGTCTCGGCATTCTCATTACCTCTTTTTCACACGATAGTATTAGAAAATCGGCACAGAACTTTGAGAAGAATTAACGAGAAATCGTTGCTAATCTGATTGGCTAGATAGGGTGAATGTTAAAATCATTTCATTTGGAAGAAGAAAAAATTTCAGAATCTTTTGCAACTCTTTTAAGAAATACAAATAATATTCTAGCTTTAGTTTTGAAAAGTCAAGAAGATTCTCACAAAGTAAGATGTGTGAAAGACCAGAGAACTGCTGCGGGCAAAACCCAAATGAGAGTGACCTTTTGAAATTTTAAGAACTATACAAAATTGTATTTGAAGTAGAAAAGCGAATAGTTTTACTAAATGTAAAATTCTTAGATAATTTGGCTAGACAGGTCAATAGTCCGTTTTACGCTAGTCGACAATTTTGACATCGTTCTTTCCAGATTCTTGAAAATCAGGTAAAAATCTTGCTGCTAACTCAAGAAATGATTCTTGCCTGATTTTTAAGAAGAAAAAGAATCTTGTCTGACAAGCAAGAAAAATACGAACCTGAACTTCAATTTTTATTCAAGTAAGATGTACTGAAAAATTTTCATCAAAATCTCGAAATAATCATGCAATAATGCCATTTCTCAGGTTCCAAACACAAGTTTTCAAAGCCAGATTTGTTTTCACGTCTTCACATCCCTGATCCTCGTCTGATGAGAGATATTAAAATGAGTTATTGTTAACTGAATTCAGTCGTACAATGGATTTATTCTAGAGGAGATAAATTCAGAATTTCACATCGAACTTGAAGGAATAGAAGAACATTCTAAAAGCTTTTCTATGTAAAGCATAAAGTAAATGTAATTGGAAAGTCAGAAATAGTAAAGATCGGGGGATGATGATTCGATGAGAGATAGTCAACCATACTTTTTAAAATTGAGAACAAGCAAGATATTTGATGGCTAACTCTAGCTATCTGAAGGGAGAGAAAAAAATCTTTTTTCTTAGCTACTAATAAGATCTGAAGAAAGTTTTTGTTCGTATAGACGCAAATTTAACATACTCAAAACACTATTTGTATATTGGTATCGTTTGATGATATGCAGGATACTAATCGCGTAGCATTGTTACATATTTCCAATACTCATAGAATGTCTTTTTCAAATTGTTTGTTCAAAGACATCGCAACTTCTAAAATATTTATATAGAATTCTAATCATAGCTGATGCCAGCAGTAACTTAGAAAAGGTATCGTATTTTTGGCCCCGTATAGCCCTTAGGAATTAAACAAGGAACGGAGAGTTCGTAAGAAAGATACAATGAACGTAAAAAAACAAATATTTGATATCAAGTAGTCCTCTTGTCAATAACTTTACTAAAAATCTATTGAGTACCGTAGTTGAGTGTTTTTAGTGAAAAACTTTTCTGAACCGTTATATATTCATATATATTCGATCTAGTAAAACGCTCGATGGTCAACAACTAATTAAGAAAGACTAGATGAATTTGTTCGAATTCATCACGGGCATAACTCTATGAAACAAGTAATATCTTGTGATTACATAAGCATGTAATCGAAATTTCATTCGAGAAACACGTGTTGTTATTTTTTCTGTCTGTTTTAGTTGTTGTTCTGTGTTGACTTTAGATGAAATCAATATTTGTATCTGGTAAATTAATATTGACTGTAGCAGGATCATAAATCCTTCTAGAATAAGATATCAAGAAAATATAGTCAAATTCAAGAGTTACGAAAATCTGTTAATATGACTTTTTACACTATTTCATTTTTTTCCTTCATGCTGAAAACTACATCATTCATGATACAAGATATTTGTGCCTATCAATACCAGTTGAGCTACCTTCGCAGAGTAATATTTCGTTAAAAGGAATCGTGAACGCTTGATTAAACATAAGAATTGAGCAAGTTGAAGGAGATTTAACCAAAGCCTACCTAGTTGCGGGCCACGGGCCGTAGTTGTAGTTGGTCTTGTTGTTGTCGTAGTTGTGGCGTTCGTCACTATTGATTATCGTAGAAAATTTATGTAAAAAAATCATGTAGGTCTACGTCTGACATAGAGAATGATATAAAAGTGTATGACTGTTAAACTTTTACAGTAATAGTCTAAGTCTGTGCACTCTAAATCCCAATAAACCATTTCAAGCACTATTTCTCTATGCAGAAAATAGAAATGGACTATGGATAAAGTTACGTGACTCGTACGCGATGGATTTGTAATAGATATGCACCAGTACAGTCGGACTGGGTTTACAATATCACTGAATATCCGGTAAATTGATCCAACTTTGATCCTGCAATCATTAATTTTGCTTGATTATACCAAAATTGCTTGAATAAAATAATTCTAATGGAAAATACAGAGAAGTCGAAAAGGCGATTGGCGTTCAGCTGACTTATTTTACAAGTGCTTTTACGAAAAAACTATATGGTGGTGACTTTTTCGACATGGACTACCTGTCTGATAACTTTATTTTGCTAGAAACTACTTTCAAATTTTTAATCCCTTTACCTCCCTACAGAATTCGAAAAATATCAAAAAGTTGAAAATTTTGCCTTTTAAAGTTACTAGGAATATCAAGTCAGCCATGCTGATCACAAATATCACCATTCTGAGTCTCAGAAATGTTATTCTGAATTATATTTTCAACTTTTTGATTTTTTTCGAATTTCTGTGGGGAGGTAAAGGAATTCAAAATTTGAAAGTAGTTTCTAGCAAAATAGAGTTATTAGATAGGTAGCCGATGTCAAAAAAGTCAGCACCATATAGTTTTTTCGTAAAAGCACTGTTACACAATAAGCCAGTTTAACGCCAATCGTCTTTTTGACTTCTCTGTATCTTCCATTAGAAGTATTTTATTCAAGCAATTTTGGTATAATCAAGCAAAATTAATGATTGCAGGATCAAAGTTGGATTAATTTACCGGATACTCAGTGATATTGTTAACCCAGTCGGGACTGGGACTGGTGCATGTCTAATTTTGTATCACACAGACCCGCAGTCACATCCTCACGTTCTCTTTAGCTGATTCATCTCTTACTTGTTAGCAGTGGACAGAGTTGTCGATTAAAAATCGGTACTGGAAAACAAACAGGCGCACTCTGACATTGTGGATGATGAACACACGTATGCTCAGGTTCATAACAAACGTTATTGGGATCGCAATTAACTAGTTCAGCACAACGTGCCAAACTTAGATAACTACAAATACCGACGTTAATAGCGCCTGCGATATGTAAACAGGCACAGCCAGCATTTGCCGAACATCGATCATATTGAGCCATACCGTTGCATATTTGAGATTTGACTTGAATTATCAATACACTAAATAGAAAAGAGGACATTTGACAAAAAAAAAAAGATTTAAACCTGTATGACCTTGAAGAAAAAATTTTTAAACTTTCGATGAGTAGAAAAATAATAATTACCTGCATAGAATGAATAAGAAATAGCAAATTGTTTTTGTAGGCATCGTTTTCGTTGAAATGAAACACAACAGTGGCAGCGCATGTTTTTTTTTTATATCTGATGAATACTTAATCATTTTCACATTCACCGAAAATGCAAAATACGGTTTGAGCTTCGATAATTAGAAATTCGATATCGTTCCAATACTTTCTTCACAATTTAATCTTGCTCAAGAAACTAATCCTGACAAAAGAAAAAAAGCTTGATCAAACACAACGATTCCGACCATGTGCATGTTGCGTCCACCTACTAAATTCTGTTGCATAGGATATTCTGAATTAGATTTTCTAGAAATATAAAACTTTAGGATAATTAGGTGACGGGTCCTAAATGTCGCTTCTGCCACCCACACATCTCTATCTATGGCCCGTAAATTTTTCAATTAGGCACAAACTATTCGACTATATGCGTTACTCTTATCAGCACATCCAACCGTGCTGAAATTCGGCATATTTCACATAAGATACAACCATTCTCAGAATCATTATCACTAGCGCGGTTCAACCGTGCTCTATCAGTGAACACGTATCAGTACACGAAAAGTATGCAGACACGCCAGTCTAATATGGACTTTTCCGTGATAAAAAAATTCTTAGGACAATTCAAAAGTAGTGACAGTGACATTTCAGTACCGTTTAACGAGCTTGAGAAAAATGCTCTTCTACATACAATAATAGTAAAAAAATAATACTTTTTCTTTCTGCGATATGCGATGATACGTCATTTGATAAGGTTTTTACTATTAACTGGTTATTCGTCGAAGTTCATCATATTATACTACCAGCTAAGCATAATATATTCATACATTTCTGGTTTTTTTTTGAAAACTGATCAACTTGTGCTTGAAGAAAAAAATTCTAATTCAATTCAACTGATCAGAGTGGATAACTGTATCAATGGAAATGCTTGACTTTAAAACTTTTCACCGTACCAATCATCACGCCCTTTTAAAAGTTGCAAATAAATTAAATTATCAACAATAATCTTGTTGACTATCTTACGAAATCCTCAATCGATTCTATTCCAAGACATATTATATCGTTGAACAAATGATTCGCTTTTTGGCTCGATATATTGAATTCTACAATAATAATTAGAATTTACTCAAATAAAAATTGCTAGGAACACCTCAATATGAATATTAAATTAGTCGATGCTATGGAAATTGCCTTCTCTATCATGTTTCTTGTTTAACCGTCTGCCAAACATACGAATATATTTTCTTCTTTTCCTTGTTTAAACAAATAATGAATATTGAAAAGTTCTGTTCATGATCACTTCTCGCAGTAGCATAATGACTGAGAAGAAAAGGAGAACATTAGCAACCATAACTTAATTGTTATGTGATCAATTTTTTCAGATGCTCGCGCTGAACAAGTAAATCAAGAATAGCGTTGATTCGACAAAAAAACATGCGATTGAATTCTTCGTCTGTTCATTATCATTGATTCGTTCGACCGATAGGAAAGATGATATCAAAAAAATATACGTCATAATTGAGAGGTGCTTATTCCAATGAAATAGAGCAGATCGCTCTTATCAACATACTCATTTTTTTTTATTCATAAACATGACCACAGGTTATTCACAAGCAGCCATTATCAGCAACACAAATCGATCACCGAAGTGATTGGTTTCCCCATGTAAACTTCTTTACAATTTCAACGAAAAACACGTTAAAATGCGATTAACATAAAACAATTGTGGAGAATTTGTTAAACTTGCATTTCATAACGCATTTTCACGATCAAATAGGTCATATTTTTTGTTTAAATCGTGAAGTTCATATAAATAGCTTTTTTTTTCTTCAGTTTTAAAGTCAACTAAACGTGAGTTCATCGCAGCATGTTATCTCCATCATTATCTTTTGCTTTTCCTTACATAGACATGATCGTTTTTCTCGCGACTAGCCGTGCTTGACGGTCATTGATAAATATATATATGTATTTAGATTTGAACGCAACAATGACAATGAAACTAGAATCTTTATCCAACGAGGTACTCCTTGATTTATTCGAATTACTCGATGTAGTTAATCTTCTACGTGCTTTTTCGGGTCTCAATACTCGCTTTAATTCTTTACTAGTTGGTGATTTTCAATCGTATCGTGTCGATCTTCGTTCGATGTCTAAAGAAGATTTTTATATTTTCTATTCGACATATCTTCCATCGATATTAAATCGGATAATTTATCTTCGCCTATCCGACGATGAGGACACGCCATGCCAATGCAGTCACTTTCAATCGACTGCTTTTACATTAAACCGATTTATTCGTCTTCGTTCATTAATATTCAACAGCTTTAGTACGGACGTGAATATTAATCAAGAGTTTTTTGCCGGCCTACATCACCTTCATAATCTAACACGTTTGAAATTCGTCGATTGCCGATTGTATCATCTTCACTTGGAAGATTTTCGAGATGTAATTGATCAAATTTGGAATCTACCGAAGCTATCTCGTTTATATTGGCATATCAGTTTTAAATGCTCACGTCGATTTTCTCTTCCTAAGTATACTTCACGATCGTTACGATACTTAACAATTGTCAACTATAATTACGATTCGTACGACTTTGCCTGTTTATTAGAAAAAACACCGTACTTACGAAAATTTTCCATGCTATCGGATGATTATGGAGATCAGGATATACGCATTAGTCGTAATTTTTTACCATCATCTCACACTTCATCCATTCGAGAGCTGACTCTATTTTCAATGCGTTCACAAGCTCTGATGACTAGTTTATTTCAATTTTTACCTCATGTTACTCATCTAAAGATCGAAATATTTTCTATCGATTTAGATGGACACCAATGGAAAAAGATGATTGTTAACTACTTACCTCAACTTAAAGATTTACAATTTAAGATAGACTTGGATCTTTGTCGTTCGATTGATGATTCAACAAATGAAGACAAAATTGATCAATATCTATCTACATATCGTACATCGTTTTGGATCGAACATCATCAATGGTTTATTCGATGTCATTGGTATCAATCGAATGGATTTCTTCGAATTTGTGTTTATTCATTACCATNACAATTTAAGATAGATTTGGATCTTTGTCGTTCGATTGATGATTCAACAAATGAAGACAAAGTTGATCAATATCTATCTACATATCGTACATCGTTTTGGATCGAACATCATCAATGGTTTATTCGATGTCATTGGTATCAATCGAATGGATTTCTTCGAATTTGTGTTTATTCATTACCATATGTATTCTCTTATTTTCCTCTTTTCGATCGGAATTTCAATTTTCATACAAAATCGACTTGTTCACCTGATATGAATCATCCGTATAATTCTGTTCGTGACATAGGTTATGAACCATGGATGTTCCACGATGAAGCATTATCTCATATTCAAATGGTCAATGTCGAAAAGTTATCGCTTCGACTTCCCATTGACCAGCAATTTTTCTCAATTATTCCCAAACTTGAAAATCTGTTTTCACTTACTGTAGTGGTTCCAACTGAAAATCATCGATTCCAATTACAAACAATACTTGACCGTGCGCCTCGTCTATTTTCACTTTCATTTAACTATTCCATCGCTTCAGTAATGCCACCCTATCGATATACAGGCTCATCAATACGTCGACTTGATTTATTAGGCTATGATCCATGGCGTTGTCGTCATCGGTATGATAGTAAAAAATGCATGGAATTAAGCCAATCACCATTGGGTATTCAATGTCGAATACTAGCCATTGAAGTAGAAGAACCAAAATGTATTGTGCAATTAATTTATACGATGATAAATCTTCGAACATTAAATGTTTCCTATGAAAATGATGACTGCACCAATGAATATGATCTTGTCAAAGTCTTACAGCATTGCTTACCGTCAACATGGAGTATTACCAGAGCTTCTTATGGACGTATCATTCTTCAATCATGATTTTGTTTTCTGAAAATGTAAATTTCGTTGTATAAAAAAACGTTTGAAATAAAATTTAGAATACATGACTCGAAATATTTTCATATTGATTGATAAACATATTTGCTTCTTATTCTAAAGAGAAGAATAGTTCAGAATTTACTATATTCAGTCGTTCAATATAGAGTGAGCCTATCATATTATTTACTTTATTTCAAGTCTTAGTCATGATAGTGGCGCTGATTGCGAACACAATGACTCTGGTGAGTCACACGAAAATAAAACAACCGTCTTGATGATTTCGTTTTCTTCTTTCTGTCAGTAGCCATCATCAGCCAAAAAGATTGTTTATCGTTTTTTGCCGTTTCTTCATGTACCATGTACTTAAAAAATTCTTTTAAACAAGAGGAAAGAAAACATGTAAAAAGAGACCCAACTTGCAATTTTATCGTCTCGCGAGGAGGCATTCAATTTTGACATAAACTTTTTCAAGATTGGCTTTTGAATACTGATAAGAATAGCCTTGATAGGAACACAAAACATTTCTCAAAAGTGTTACTACTCATCACAAGTAATCATCGAAGGTGATATCCGATAAAAGCAGATATTTTCAAAATTCTTAGGATAATTTTTTCCGTGCGACTATTATGTAAATTAAAATAGATCTATTTTTTAGATTGTCATGTCCGAGAAATTTTACCATGGTGATCCTAATCGCGACAACAATTTCTGGGTTTATCCACGTGATAAACTAGTACAAAATCCTGATTGGGATACTTATGATGCATCTTATCTATGCAATAATTGTACCTATCTCCGATCAAGTCCATGATCTAAACCAGAGACATATCGATGTAATGGCCATAAAACGTAAGTGATAAGTACAATCAACATAAAAATTGAATCTGTTTTAACTGTTTAATTTTAGGGTATGTTATATACTTGTGAAGTATTCACTAGTCTGAAACGTTAATTTGATTCCAAAATATACTTTTTCAGTTTTCGACTATCAAATTGAAGAATTTATTTTTATTTAACTACACCAAAATCATATTATTTTACAAGTTCATTCCGTAGGGATTCTACAGAATAATTTACCATGTTTGCTAGAATACTACGTGTCATAGAGAAATAAAAAATGCATCGCAGTTGCGTTACATTTGGCATACATTTCGTTGTCAACTTCATCGATAGTAGAGCCCAAATTGCTTCCTCAACATGAAAAACATATTTTTCTAGAATCTTAACTCATATTTAGATACACGAAGGCAAATCGATATTGTCTTATCATGGTGATTTTAATCGCGACAATCATTTTTGGGTTTATCCAAGATATAAACCATTACAAAATCCTGCTTGGGATACATACGATGCATCTGATTTGTGTGATAATTATACAAATCTTGGAACGAGTTCATGATCTTTAGTAAAGACTTATCGATGCAATGGCCATATCAAATAAGTAATCTGCATAATTAAAATACAAGTTTCTACTCTACTCTTCGATATTTTAATTCTTGTGTGGAGAGAAAAACAAACCAATGATAGTTGAAATCGAAAGTTGCTTCTTCAACTGATTTTATCTTGAGAATAATTTTGTTGTTTTTTGCTTCCGTACATGAATTATATGCAGTTTATCTACATTTATTTTGAATAAATTTACAACACTTGCAATAGCTACAGGCTAATTTTCATTGCAAATTCGCTGTTAGTAAATATCGAGCTATAAAACTTTTAGATGTGAGATAAAACGAAAAAATGCGAAAATGGGCGAGTTGGAACGTCTAATCAAAATACTTTTCTAATGTTTCGATTGGTGAAAAGCACTTTCTGATTTTGGACATGAATACTTTTACGATCTTAAATTTATGTTTGTCCTAATCTTAAGTAGAACTTGATCGTCTCATAAATAAAATGGACTTTGCTCGGATGTGAGCGATCATATGTAACTGCATATACAAAATTATTTTAAACAGCAACAGATTTTTTTCTAGAACACTCAACAATTTCTGTACGCTATTTCATAGCTTATAAGAAACCTTTTCCCATGGTAACTCTTAAACAAGCACGATACATGCCTGTTCCTTTTGAAAAATCAATGAGGTCTAACAACAACGGAAAAAGTTATCGTTATTAACTTGCTTGCATCAATTTAGATTATTACGTAAATTTATCTTTGCTACTAATCCATGCTGCTTGGATATGGTCTATTCATCGTATACATTATTAGCAAGACTGGTAAAGATCGAGTCAATCATCGCGCTTCATCTCATAATTCAAAGCAAATATTATCATTGTCGGGTACTGAAAAAGCGAAGACACGACGATGACAATAATCTAGTTTAAATGTTAGATCAATCTTGGATATGCTTTCATCGTTCCCTCACTGAATATAAAACCAAACAATATTATAGTATCTTTAGAATTGATATACATACATAGTTCGTACTGTGCTGATTGCGTGCCACGAAGAATGCTATTTATCGTATTGCTATTAGTAGCCATCGGAGATGTTGTTAGCATTTCAAGTCCAATTACGCCGTTCACCACCTATAGATATTCAACTGAACTGGAAAAGGGCATAGCCGATCTGTGGTGGACAGTAGATAATGGTGCAAAAGATATCACTTTCGAGTTGCACATGAAAACAACAGGATGGGTAGCTTTAGGTATTAGTCCAGGTAGAACATCAATACCTTCGCGTATCCTATTTGTATAACAAGTACTGTTTCTCTAGGCGGCGGAATGGAAGGTGCCGATATCGGTGTTGGATGGGTCGACACTGAGGGCAAAGTTCACTTTCAAGTACGATAAAGTTTTGTGCACATTGTGAATAAACATATTTAGACTATAGGATCGACATGCATTCGACTTCGTCAAACCTGTTATCGATAATACAACCGAGAATTGGCTTGCTCTACGTGGCCGTGAATCCAACGGATGGACTGCCATTCAATTCAGACGTCTTCTTGACACATGTGATCCTATGGATGTTGAAATTAAAGTAGAGTAAAATTGTTTTGTTATATTCCTCATTGATTATCTTGAGTATAGTCTGGAACGAATGTCATCATCTATGCGTATGGTCTTACTGATCCAGTTGGTGATATCAATTACCATCAGAATCGCCGAGGCTCGCGCATGATTCCACTTCAATCGTATGCAAATCCACCAACCGAAAATAAGTTTACCGGTCTCGATTATTTCGAATTTCGTTTGAATAATGTCAATCAATCGCAGTACTATTCCATAATATTTTCATGTATCTCTTTGCCGTTTAGTATGCTGTTCCGTCCAATGACACGACCTATCATTGTAAAGTATACAAAGCTCCAGCTCGGTATTCAAGAAAACGTCATGCCATTGCCGTAATAATTCAATACTTATCTCTTCAGTCGTCTACAACTTTATCACTTTGCATAGCACAAAACAATGATCGATCCGAATAATGTGGATCTGGTTCATCATCTTGTGTTATATGAATGTGATCAAACAGTTAAATTTGATGATAATAATCTTCCCGACGGCGCATGCGATGACTATTACAGAGAATTTTCCCATTGCTTATCCAATACTGCTACTGTTTGGGCAGTAGGTGGTGAGGAGGTACGGTTGGATTCTACTTCAAAATTCCTCAACAATTACATCTAACTACATAGATTGTCGAATTTCCGACAGAAGCCGGTTATCCAGTTGGTGGCGATTTTGGCATCAAATATTACGTCATTGAGATGCACTATAATAATCCAAAATTGATACCAAGTATAAAAACTTACTTATCAAAGAGAGATCGCAGGCCATGGGATGTCGAATTTTTTTTGTACTAAGATCGCCGTGACAATACGGGTATTCGATTTTACATTGGCAAAGAACTTCGTCAGTATGACCTTGGCTATCTAGCATTCGGAACTAGTTCTAATGCGCTTGCTCTGACCATTCCACCGAAAGTCGATCAATTTACCGTCGATTCGTTTTGTCCGAGCGAATTCAGCAAAGTATCATACTATTTTCGATGGGATTTTCTGAAAGACTTTATCGCTATTCAAGAAATTTATGGAAGAATCTTTGTTTAGAATTTTCCGGAATCTGGTATTACTGTGGTTTCCGCACTCCTGCATGCGCATCTTCAAGGTAGTCTGAAGATAAATCGAAATATTATTCCCATTATGTATGCAAACAGGTCGCTCTCTTGGAACGAAATTGATTCGAAATAATATTGCGGTAGAATACCTTTTTAATGCTGAGAGATATGATTTCAACTACCAATTTGACAATCGACTGTCGGAACCAATTAAACTGTATCCGGTGAGAATTAAGGTCATCTAATTTATTTTGTAACTACAGTTTGTGATTTTTTTCTTAGGGAGACGAGTTTGCTACACGATGCGTTTACAACACGATGAACAAGAACGAAGTTACACTGGTAGATTCGTTTCACATGTATCGATCTAAATATGGATTGATCTTTGCTAGGGCGGTCAACGGACAACAGATGAAATGTGCTCTCAGATATTCACGTACTATCCTCGCGTAAAGGATTTGTATGGATGTTTTTCAATGAACCACCCAGATGCATGGCAAGCCATAAGAAATCGAGTATCGTAAGTTCGAAGTCTGATCGATTGAAGATGGACGTTTTATTTGTCGGTTGTTTAGCAACAATTTTAATAACACTGAAATGCTCGATTGGATAAAGAACATCGAATGGACGCCGACAGTAGCTGCTCAATGGCAAGAGTTCTATAATGATGCTTCACGCATGGTCATTTACAGTGCTGTAAACAATACGAAATCTGAAATTTTAGCTGCTCTGCCTAAATATAAAGACTTGCCAATAAAGTCGTGTCAAACGGAATCGATTTAGAATTCGAAAATAACTTGACCATTGAATTCTGCTATAACGATTCCTTCTGTTGTAAAAAAATTATTTTAGCTTCTTTTTTGATCTACAAAGCATAAATGTGAAATACACATAACAGAGTTCTGGATAGCCGACACACATGTAGGGTGTGAGCTTGCGGGTGTCGGATGACAAAAGAAAATCGATAATACTTTTTTGAGCTACTTCGACCTGTTGTGATCATTTTGTTTTCTTCTTTCATGACATGAGGCATCCTCAACGTACATCTTCAGTCTTCGAAAAAACGTTCACTCGAAAGCTAACACATTTTCATGTGATTGGCTAATGAAACGCGAGAAAAGAACTTGATTTGATTAATAATTTGTGGAGTTTCGTAATACGATATATAGCCAAATTATTCATTATGATTTTGCGTCCGTCAACTTAGTTTCAGATTACAATATGTTGTTGTAATCATATACTATTGAAACGCTAGTTATAAAATTATGAAATTAAGGGCAATGTTGATTCATCATACATCACTCTTCTGAATCATCTGAATAGAAGAGATATTTGTAACCCTGCCTTTGAAAAAATTTCACAAAATAAAAATTAATTTTACTACCGGAAAGCATCATTTCCCAATGCTTGTTGTCATCCGAGTGCTCTACAGTATTCTTCCGATATATTTCTTTTTCTGGAGTAGTCAAAATTTTGATGAGTCGAAAATAGATATGCGAGTGCCTGGAATTCAATGACCACAGAAGAGTTGGAAATCAACACAGGAAGGACAAAAATGACATGTTCTACATTTTCGAGCGCTCGTCGTATCCACCGCATGGTCTTTTATGTCTGTCTGAATGTAACGATTTTAGATAGAAGAGATGCGTGTGCTGATGGTATTACACTTTATTTAACTCTTCAAATCATAAATCGCCCCGATTACATATAAAGCACACGCTTAAATACTCAACCATTTGAGAGAACGAAGAAGAAGGATAGATAAAGACAAATGTGAAGGACACAAAGATAAAGGCAATATATGTGATGAGAAGAAATGGCACCATAAGGCCAAATACCATGTACAGGCCACACTCGAACGGAAGCGTTACACTCCCGCGTGGAATTTAGACGCTCTCCGCATTTATCGTTACACTGAATTATGTAATTAATACTGAGAATTTAGTAGCTAAATATTCCTCAAACACCCACGAATATTTATTAGATGGAACTGGAATTCGAATAACTAATCGACTAGGAAAGATGTCTAATTCATAAAAAGCTGACGATAAATTTAAGTTATTGAAAGCTGTGAATTACCCAGCTGAAAACCGTATTTCATAGATTTGATCTAGTCTTTCTAATTTTTCTCAAATTTAGTATGAAAAAGAATGGGAATCTATTTTTATCAATATTTCCGTTCTTGTAGTGCAACCGACTTTGAGCCAATCATAGTTCTCTCTGATCTCCATTGAATAAGGATGTTTTTAAAGGTTAATGATTAAATTCAGTAATATCTGTTACATGCATTTATTTGATATTTATTATTCATGTAAGATAAAACTATGACAATACAGTAAAAACATACAAATGGACTTTTTTTTATTGATCCTTAAGTTGATAAGAAAAAACGAAATAACGTATTGTGAGTATATATTGAATATTTGATGGTTTATTATCTAAAGACTACAACAACAAAACATGAAAACTATATGGCCGATTTATTCTTTGCTACTTACTGCTATCAATGCTCAATCACTGTGTGACAAAGCATCATTTGTTGATCGAGCCGGATGGGGTGGACGAGAACCGACTTCGATAACAAACCTAACGAGAAAACCTTTCTCATTTTATGTCATTCATCATTCTTATGATCCACCAAAGTAGATATATATATATATCCTACATAGAAAATAATTGAAGTAATTTTAATTATTTATAGTTGCTATGATGATACTTCGTGTATTGAACGAGTAAAACAGATTCAAGATCTCCATCAAACTACATTCGGATGGGCTGATGTTGGTTATCATTTTTTAGTTGGCGAAAATGGAAAAGTTTATGAAGGTCGAGGATGGAATCGTCAAGCTGCTCATTCACCCGGATGGAACGATGATGCATTCGGTAAGACATAAAAATTATATCTACTCTACGAAGTCTTATTTGTTTTTACTTTTTCAGGTATTTGTATTATGGGTGATTTTAGAACAGCACCTCCAAATGAAAAAGCATTAAATGCAGTACGTTCGTGGATTGATTGTGGTATTAAACGCGGTCATGTCAAAGAAGATTATTATATTATTACTCATCGACAATCCCAACGACCGGGTTATACGGAATGGTAATACTATTCATTTTTTCCCTTTCGCTATATGTATATATATATACGTATATTTCGATTTAGCCCTGGCAATGGTACGATGGATGTTGTAAATAAATGGCCTCGATATTGTTCGTTTCAAAATCCTGGTACACCGTTAGATGCAAATGAAACATTATTATCTCTTGCTAATAATTTCTGTCGAAAAGAGGTTCCATCTCCTTCATCTGCTTCAACATATTTCATTACACCCGTGATTTTATTTTTTCTATTATTAATCTATTCTTTGTAAGCGAAATTTTATTTAACAAAATATAACTTAAAAAACCGTAACCAGGACAAAAGGGTGTGTGTATGCGTGAAAATCTAATTACGTACCAATTGAAGCACTTTTGATCAAAACTTGTAATCGATTAAACGTAAAGAGTGTAGATAAGTAAATTTATACGTATGCAAAAAAAACGTCATCTATTCCACCAAGTGTTTATGCATTCGATAGATTCAATATTGATGCAAAATTCTGTTCAACTTGTCGAATCGAATATATATGAATCAGCAAGGAATGTATTGTCGGTATTGAATAAAAGTAACTTAATTTTAAGGGAAATATATGTCATTATATCGCTCAATTGGTGTTCCACATTGAGTAGAGGTTAATCCTTCATTTTTAGATTTTGGTAATTTTTTAAAACAAACCTCACAAATAATTTTATGTCGACACGGTTGAAAACGACATTTTCTTAGGTTATCCACGCATGTTATAGATCGTTTTTCTTCAAGCGCTTTTAAGCATTCTTGTAGTTTCATCTCTTTGAATAACTCTTTGGCATTTGTAATTGCGCCAGGGCGATGATAATATTTCATAGAGAAAGATGCCGAATGAATAAATATCCGCTACTGTACCATCATATACAGAGTCACGATTAATTTCTGGTGTCAAAGAAAAAGTTTCAATCATTGTTGAATTCATAACCCATTCCTTTCCTGCGCCAAAATTAGCTAAATAGCATTGATCATTGACATCCATTAATATGTTTTTAGCTTTTATATCACGATGTACCATATCATTTGCATGTAATATCAAGAGTGATTTGAAGTACACGATCAGGTTTTATGTTATTAATATTCTTCTAAATCCGAACTATATCTTGGCATAAGCATATACAAATCATGCATACCCTTCGAATACGTATCATACAGATATATGAGAGGTACAATATGTGGCATTCTAATTGCCGACACTTCATCAGCACTGTTTGGTCGATCAATTAAACGAAGTTATGTGATTTTTCGATGATAGTGGTCCTTCAAATATTGCAAATAGAAGTAATCCTTTGATGATGATTTTAAGTTTTTAGCAGCTAAATTTTTCTCTGTCGACCATTCAGCTGCGTAAATAAGAAAATGGGTTCCTTTTCCTGACTTTTGTCATTATATTGCCATCAAACATTTTCGTTTTATTTGCAATTCAATGTTGTAAATTCTCACTGTATAAACTTTTTTGAACTTAAATTTTTAGAATTGAAAACGTACCCATGGAATCTATAATTTTATAATAGTTTTCTTCTCTTTTCAGAACTGATGGTGCCAACGATAATTGATATAAAATATTTTCAATCCAATGACGTTGGATAATTTCATCAGAAGATATATCGATCAGAACTTGACATTCTGCTGTTGCGAGTAGTTCATTCCGTGCTCTATCCACTAGCATAATTCGTTTCACTTATGACTTCTTCTTGTGCGACGATTTCCATAAACTCGTTAATGCTATTTTTTACCACATCTTTCGTTTTCTTTTGTAATGGAACATCAGAACGATCTAATTTAGACGCTCGTTCAATAATATTAGGTGCCTGCTGATCGAGATGTGGAAAAGGCTTATTTTCGATCATTCTTTTTGAAAGTTTTGAAAAAAATGCGTACCTACACCTTGGCATGTGCATCAAATTTTCCCCATTGTTCCGGGGTACGATAACTAGCTGAAATTGTAAAATTAAAAAAGTTTTCGATCCTATCTAAAACAGAATCAGCCACTTCGTAGACTTCTTTTATTTCAGTTTTCAAGGCGAATTTAACAATGCGTTGACAAGCTCAGGTAATAATGAAAGTCCAATTATACTATATATATCGAAATTATCACATTCGTGAATACATTTTCCAATTGTTGCATCATTGCCTATCTTTGACAGATTGTTGGCTAGTCCTATTGTTGAATAAAGAATTTGATAACGTTTTTTAAAACGTTCTCCAGGAAGAATTTCATGATATTTATCAACTGTAAGTTCATTTTTTTGTCCAAGGATAACGCCAGCACCATTAAACAATGTTGTTATATCTTGTTTTGTATTTAAATAAAATATGGTTGGCTGTTCAAGATCACCCAATGCGGCTCTAATCATCAGATTACATTCATTTACGTCTTTAGCGAATGCTGGATTTAAATATAAGAATACGTGTGGGTCGAACTAATTCTTGTAAATTGGTTTTTAATATTGACTGATCGTGAAATAATAAACCAGATGTACCGTAAACATCAATATTTAATTCGAGTATTTGGGTTGTTGCCAGTAAAATATTCGGCTAACGATATACTTTGTTTTTCTTCCGTATTCCCGTCGTATCCCTTGTTGAATTTGTGTCACAAAATGCCAACTGAACTCGTTCTTGTTTCGTGTTACTATTTAAAAATTAAAATTCAGTTGATAGTAAGGATTTATTGTATGAGTCTCCTATAACACTGTTCGTAGATGACTTCAGTATATCTTGTTGAAAGTCAAAATATGTACTGAGAAAATCATTTGTTAATCCTTCTATTGCATATTTAATGTGTCGATTAAATTCTATGATTTGTCTCATATTATTCAATTTTCTCGTTGATTGTGGACGTGAATATTTTGGAACTACATCTTCGGATAGTGTTGGTGTTGTCCCCGGTAATGCCGCCAAATCTGTATAAATCAACGATAGAAAAAGTTCTTTACATGAAATCTATAACATAAATTTTTGAAATTTAATTACAAGAAACAAAGAGTTCTGTGAAAACATCTTGAAAAAAGTGAAGAGTATGATCATCTTTGATCAGCGCTCATACTCTCTTATTGTGAGCTTGGGTCTTTATCTAAACAGTTTTCAAATCATAAGCATGATTTGTTTTTAGTGATTGGCAAAGCATAAACATCATCTACCGATGCTCACAGTTTCTTATTAATTTTGTGTCTATTGACAAATTCATCGAGCGTTTCATTCGAGAAGAAATCACCTAATAAATATTCTTCATTTCCTTTGTAGAAAATACTTTTCAAATTGATATTTCCATGGTTACTATTTCAATGTTGTTTTCTAAACAGTCATATTTCTGAAAAAACATAAAGACTATGATCTTCGTTTTCATAACGATACAATAAAGGAAGAAAATGTGAACAGACTAATTGTGTTACTTTTCGATGGCAATGAACTTCTAACTATTGTAAATTAGAAATATTATTTTTGAATTCTTTAACAACTAAGTCTTTCTTATCGATCCATACAGGTGAATAGAACTCACAAAAGTTTTCATCAGTAAGAAATATTGATTCCATCAAATTTACTTTCGGAACATGTTCATTGAAAGTCATTAAATCATGAAGATATTCTTGAGCAATATCTAGTTGATCCATAGTATTCACCGATAACTCTTTTTTTTATCACACCCTGTCTTAATTTCATTTTCATTTCAAATATTTAGTTTATTTTTCTCCTTTGAATTCGATTCTCTATCCTCTTCGTCGATCTCAATAATATAGAATTAACATGATGTTGCATCGTCACCATTGAACAAGTGACTGAGAAACTGTTTTTGTGCATTGACTCAAAATTCGTTTGTATCGGCATGACTTACTAGTGATGTATCGAAAAGTGCTCGAGTCACTGAAGTATCTGTATACATGCTTGTAAATTGACTTACTTTCATTCGAATAATTTCATATTGTACAACAGTTCTTGTATATTTTTGAATGTTTTCCACGTTTCCTTCATCAACAGCTTGTCTGGAAATATTATTCATTTTATCGTTTAATTCTTCATGTATCTTTGTTTTTTTTTCTGAACGATTGATATAGTTAAAGATATCATCTGACAGACGATGAGTCATTTCATTCCCAATGATATCTTCATCGTTAATAAAATGACTTGAATAGCAACACGTTATAACAAGAAACTATTTGATTTAATCAGAATATAATCATACAATGAATGACGTGATACATTCTTTTCATGGTGCTTCGGAGGAACGACCTAGAAAGCTTTGACAACTCATCAAACATAGAACATTCTGTTCGATACACAATAAATGCTCTTTAACATTATCATCAATAGTAGCTCATTCTCATTGGATTAAATATATAACAAAAGCAACTGCAATCAATCTCAACGCTAATTGTATTCGTCGTAATTTCGTTCTTTGTTCCGCTCTCGTAAATACAGTAAGTTTGATAGCAAACATTTTCATTCTACGCGTTGGCATAAAAAATTCTTAATAAACGGCCGCTTGGAACATAGTCAAAAAAGTTAGTTTGCATTAGAAATTTTTTATAAATGAATTAAAAATAAAAATTGTTATGCATGGAGTAACTAGAATAAATATTAATTTTACCGTATGCTAATAGGATTTTTAGATTTGATTGGAATTCTAGTTTTTTGTGAATAAAATACTTTTCTATAAATTATATATGCAGAATTTGTTAAAAGCAATAAATAGATTTTAAAAAGTTATTGAGTAATTATAGAAGTGTTCGCAATCTTTATTTACTATTTTTAAAAGATACATTATTTTTTCGTGACTACTCTAGCTTGACTGTTGCTCTTTTTTCCTGATAACTGTAAATTTGCTGCAAATATATTTAGATTTGAACAACGATGAATCAGATGAAACTGGAATCATTGTCCAACGATTTGTTACTTGATTTATTCGAATTACTCGATGTAGTCAATCTACTTCGTGCCTTTTCTGGTTTAAACGCTCGCTTTAATTCTCTTCTTTATGATGTTCGATCGTATCGCGTCGATCTACGCTCAATATCAAAAGAAGATTTTAATATTTTCTGCTCAACTTACCTTCATTTGATATCAAATCGTACAATTTATGTACGCCTCTCTGATGACGAAGATACGCCATTTCAATGTTCTCAGCTTCAATCGGTCGATCTTGGATTTCAACTTTTCGAAAATCTTCGTTCGTTGACATTCAACAGTATTAGTTCAGATCATAGTATTGATAAACACTTCTTTATAAAATGTTGTAAAAGTAACCACCTTACTCATTTAAAATTCGTCGGTTGTAAATTATTCCACATTAAAATAGAAGATTTTCAAGATGCGATAGATCACATTTGGAGTCTACCCAAACTATCTCATTTATATTGGGATTTCTGGTTTGAATGTGGACGTCATTTTCGTATACCTACCCCAATATCAACATCGTTAAAATGTTTAACCATTTGCAAAAATGACTGCTATTCATATGATTTTCCATGCTTATTGGAAAAGATACCTTGTCTACAAAAATTTTCCATGTCATCGGATAGTTATGATGATGATGATATTCCACTTTCACATAAATTCATACCATCACCACTAAACTTAAATATTACAAAACTTACACTATTGTCAGTACGTTCATTACGTGTAATGACCGCTTTGTTTCAATTATTACCAAGTATTACTCGTTTAAAAATCGAAGTCTACTATATTACATTAGATGGACATCAATGGAAAGAAATGATCGTTAATTATTTACCTCAGTTGAAATATTTTCAATTTAAGATAAATTTTAATTTCGGTCTTTCGATTAATGATTCAACAAATGAAGAAAAAGTTGATCAATATCTATCTACATATCGTACACCATTTTGGATCGAACATCGTCAATGGTTTATTCGATGTCATTGGGTAGTATCCCGAACATATCTTGATATGTTCATTTATTCATTACCATATGCATTCGATTGTTTTCATCTTTCTGACGATGTTTCTAATTATCATACAAAATCGACTTGTTCATCTGATATGTATTATTGCTATGATTCTGTTCGTTACATAGGATATAATCCATTGTTACTCAATAAAGAATCGTTTTCCTATATGCAACTCATCAATATCGAACAATTATCGCTTGAATTTCCAATTGATCAACACTTTTTCTCAATTATTCTTAATCTTGAAAATTTACTAGCACTTAATGTCACTATCACGAAGGAAAACGATCAATGGCAATTACAAACATTACTTGATCGTGCTCCTCGTTTATTCTCACTGTCATTTTCAAGTTCCATCTTAGCAGCTATGCCACCATATCCATATACAAGTTCATCAATACGTCGACTTGATTTAGAATGTTCTGATCCATTGCGACGTCATCATAGCTATGATAAGAAACAATGTATGGAATTAATTCAATCACCATTGGGCATTCAATGTCGAATACTGGTCATTAAAGTAGAGCACCATGTATCTATTTTAGAATTAATTTATGGTATGGAAAATCTTCGAACATTACATGTCTCCGACGATAATGATAAACGTAGCAATCCAAATGATCTGGTCGAAGTCTTAAAGCATTATTTACCATCAAACTGGACTATTACCAGACTAGGTTATGGACATATCATTATTCAATCATGACTTTCTTCAATTTGTAAATTTAGTTAAACAAAAAAAAACTTTTTAAATAAAATGTAGAATAATTGTTTTAAATTCTTTTTATTTGTTGGACATGGGTGAAAAGAAAATAACTGTCTTGATGTTTTTTTTCTTCTTATTTTGTTAACGAAGAGGAAAGAAAACATGCAAAAAAAGGTAATCTTATCGTCTCCTGTGTTGTTATTCAATTTAGACATAAACAATGGCAAGATTTTTTCTGAAGTGTGTCTCTCATCGCTAGTAATGTTAAATAGATTAAATTCGGCATATTTTATTTTAGATAACTGCCTGAGAGATTTTATCACGGTGATCCTAATCGTGAGAATAACTTTTGGGTTTATCCACGTCATAAACGGTTACAGAATTCTCGCTCGGATAGAAATGAAAGAACTAAAACGAGTAATTGTATTCCAATCATTGATTGTTCTCACAGATTCATCATACCATACTAAGATCATTTCAATATGATTAACAATGCGCAATGGCAGCCTAGTCTTGCTTAAACAATCATATAAACACTACACGCTTCAAATATATCTCCTTATACTTGATGATCATTATAATTTTGTAGCTTTTAAAGTTAAAATGCCACCCGTTCTCAGGATTTTATAAATACTCGCTATTATTTTGTTAAACAGAAATATAAAGTCGAAATAATTTCTTATAAACAATACGAACCATACTGGCTGACAATGAAGTTCTTTAGCAGCTTGACGTGCTATGAATAAGAATCCACTAGCGTCAACATCAATTGGCATAATATTTGATACTGTTATTTCGGCGTCATTTTGGATAATAGCTCTTAGTTGTGAACAAAGAAAAAGAAAGAAATTCGGCGAATTGAAATAACTCTTATAACTAACGGTTTTTATCTATTTGAACATCAACTTTCTTCACTTTTCTGCAGATAAACAGTATAATTTCATTCGTGTATGGATAAATATTATTCATATAGATTTATCATTGGGGTACGGCGTGATCATAAACATAGGTGAAACCATCTTCGCCAATATCATTTTCAAATTAAAGATTTTCAGAAGGTTCTACAGATCAAAGTGATCCACGAAATGAATTGATGGAAGTATGAACAGTAATCATTATATCATTTGCCGAATTTTATTTATTTTAATTTTCTTCTAAAGAACAACACAGGAAAATATTTATATAAGGATGTGAGATACTATCTCTGTCCATTTTATACATTGAAGAATAGATATTTTATTTCCAACGCCAATGACAATATGTATTAAAGATCGATACTTCCAATCTATTGAGATAAAAGTCGGGTTGAATTTCGGCGTAACGCATCAAGACGAACAAAGGTACCTTGATTATGACCGAAGGTACGTAACATAAATGATATAGATAGAAAAATTCCATTGCATCGTAAAAAATACAATATTGAAAAAGAGTAACTAATAAGATTGGTGGAATCAATGACGCTTCGATTAACCAACGAAGAAAGTTCATATATGTTACTGCATAGTTACTATTCACTAATTGGAGCCATGTGTAGAGGAATGCGAAGAATACATAAACCACTATTAATTTCATTTCTCTTTTCAATATCATAATTGTTAATGAATATGTATCTAGATCATCTACGTGTAGCCAGTTGCTGTCCGTAAAATGATCAATACGTCTGCCATGACGACAGAATAATAATAGATGTATTATACGTAACTGTAAAATAATAGGGGAGAAAATTAGATGACCAATTAAACATGAGGCCATGAAATGAGTAATAAGCCAAATTTCTATATTCAAAACACATAATAATTGTTTATATTCTATTGATAACGATTGATTTGGTAATAACAAAAACGTTTCATTGATCAACAATATTCTACTCATATTAATAAAATAATTTTCATCACCAATAATTCGATTTATATAAAATATTGTATATCACTCATTAAATTTCGCTTTATCATACTGGGTATTGTCTATTATGTAAACAAACAATTTCATACAAAGATACGTCCGTCGTTCAATTCATATATTCATTGTTGTCGTCTCTTATAGCGTTCCCCTCATTCCACAATGGACTGAAGATGGACAAAAACAGACATTGGCCGATGTGTTCGTGAGTACAGGTGAAGAATAGGCGCACCCAGTGGCGGAACCAGGGGGGCTTAGCCCCCCCTACCCAGGTCGAACATTCCGGTCCCGGAAACGGCGGGTTCTGTGGTATTCCGGAGATTTCATGGAAGCAGTATTCTGGTGAAAGGATTCGGTGACCGGATTTATCCGGTTCCGGCCGGAATCGACAGGAACCTGTCAACACTGGTAGCTGGATACGGTTTCCAGATTCCTGCATCGAATTCCGGACAATTCCCGGTGGGTTCCGGTCGGAAACAGCGAGTTTCTTGCAGGTTTTCGCCGGAAATTCACGCAATACTGCTTCAGGAATCATTGTCCTGGGTAGACAGTGTTGAGCCCCCCCCCCTAGCGAGATTTTAGAAAATGCATTTTTTTATATAAATATGTAGTAATGTTTGCAATTTCATGTTTTAGCCAGTGTTGCCCGCTATGAAACTCAAAAACTCCCGCAAGAATCAAGAAAAAATTTCAAAATTCTCCAAAAATCTAAAAAAAGCTTTCAAAATCCGAAAAAAAAACCAGAAAAATTGTCAGCATTCCCAAAAAAAATCCAAAATGACTTCCAAATTCTCAAACAATTCACGAAATTTTTTTTCGGGGGCTCAGCCCACCCTAGCCTGAAATCCTGGGTCCGCCACTGGGCACACCCACAACAGTTGTCGTTAGTTGTCAGCAAAATGTTGTTACACACGTAATGCTAAATATTTTCTTCTAATATATTACCCATGATATTAATAAATACTGCTTCATACAAATTTTTGATTACAATATCACATAATATACTTATGAAATCAAGTTTATGTTTTCTAACGAAAGATCAATAAAAAATATTTATAAAGATTAAAAACTGATTTTTTTTTATTCAAACTTATGTAAGGTTTGAAAATCTTGTAAGGTATAGACAATGCATAATTGAAATTAGTGAAAAAAAGAACAATTTTGTTTCGCATGCTTTTCTAATTGTTCGGACGTAATTGCAAAGAGTATGAAGCAATAAAATATTCTGTATGGATAACAGTGTGAACATTTAATAGTGCAATTGGTTGTCTTCAAAATTATTATCATGATGAGTTGTAATGCATGTGCTTTATATTTGTAAATAAAATTGTAAACACATGATTCAAAATCTTTTCATATTGATTGATCTTATAAAATCTACTAATAGTATATAAGAGGGTAAATGCTTTGCAGCAAATTATTATAATGTTCGCTAATTTCCCCTATCGCAAATATCATAAGCATTTTTAATTATTGAATAACATGCTCTATATTGATTTACTTCTATTCATGATTTAAGGTCTATTTTTAATTGAAAACGATGTGTTCACTATAATGCTTTGATTCGGACTTGAGAATTGGAATCGGAAAAAAAAGATTTCAATCCGTTGAATCTGAGTCCAAAATTATTTTATTGTATTGACTCTTACTTTCAGTATCAAATATTTGGAAATCATAATTCATTCAGTTGGAAGTTTCATAAAGTACGAATTCGAAGCGACTTTATTTTTCGACAACAAAAAACTGTTATGCATTATAACAGGCACTATTACAGTTAAGATTTAAAAAATATTTACATTATATACATATTATAAGATGCTAATTTACAATTACCAAATTAAAGTTCATTGTATAACAGCTATGAAAACATTTTTTGCTCTTGGAGATTAAAAAAAATTCATTTTTGAATACTTGTCAACTAGTTATTATGTATAAGATTTGACAGAGAAGTATATTTACAAGTTACTTATAGAATCATATGAGTGTTTTCAAAATGTAACATCTTTCTGATATAAAACGAAAATTTAATATACATGCGTTCAATGTTTAATTGATGGTTGTATATCGAATATCGTCAATAGAAAAATGTCAAATTTTATCAAATTAGAAATTTTATTAGTACTATGGATAAGGTAGTGATTCTCACATATACATTGATTCTATCATGAGCCATAATACAAGATGACTCATTTGTTTTTGCTCGTTTTCTTTAGTTTGCTGTATGACTATCAAAAGTATTTAAGCTCTATATGACTTGGTAAAACATTTATTACTTTATCTAACTATTAGATGTTTTTCTTAAATTCTCCGAGTGATTATTGCATATTAAACGAATGACTCTTTTTAACTTGCTATAGCTTGAAAGAGCCAGTAGTGCACAAGTGTGTGAAATTTCCACAGTAAAATTTAATTTTCTTCTCCAATTTAAACAGTTTCATTTGATAATTCGTTCAATCGTAAGTGGGCGGATCTTTTCCATCAAGATGCACTCCTCACCACACCCACACCCACCCTCAGGATGTATAAGTTTACTAAAATAGAATGTAGTATTTCATTTTTATTGGTATTAAAATATAACTGGATAAGAAAAAGACTTACAATAATTCAACCTAAAGCAATTTTAATGTTTTCAAATAGTACTATGAAAACAACTGAATTTGAATTTTTACTGACAACTTAAGATCGTATGCGTATATTTATGTTACCAACATGACAGATGAAGCGAACGTTTTAGGTACTTCATGTTCTACCGCTAATTATTGAGCCATTATAGTAGCTGCAATGTTGTTGTTTTTTTTATCAATTGATAGAGAGATAATTTCTCTTGGCAACGACATAAAAATTAGAGAAACTCTTACACTGAGATGCTTTCATCCAATCAAAACTTTAAATACATTTATATTTTCCAATCGCAAAATGTTATAATATTCTGCATATAAATTCTAATTAATGAAAATCAGTATCGATGTGTCAGTTTAGTCGTAGTGACAGTAACACCATCTAAGATGTGCACAAAGTGAAGAGATCAATATTTCTTATCAATCCATTCTTCGTTCTCAATGATCGCACGACACTACCCTTTTCACTGCAGGGAACTGCTTAACGTTGTTTATTGACATATGGTGTTTCATATTATATTAGTCATAAAGAAAGAAAAAACCAAACGCGCAGATAATAAAAGTCGCATGTTTGTCATATAAAAGAGCAACGACATCAGAATTAGTATTCTTTATTTTCAACGAAAATGGTCTTCGATACAATTCTCTACGATTTACTTGAAGTCGAGCCGAATGCGACACAACAAGATATTTCAAAAGTAGGTTTATTCAAATAATATCTGATTGATGGGAATTTTAATTTTAATCGTTGAGCTATATATTCGATGCTAAAACCCATTTACCAGTGAGATTTCATTTCTATTTATTAGGCTGTCAAAAGAAAATCATTGGAACATCATCCAGACCGTGGTGGAAATCACGAAATGGTAAACATAGCCACATTTTAGCATCCATTTAAACTGTTTTCTTCACGATGTAGATGCAAAAAGTCAATGCAGCAAGACAGATATTGACCGATCCAGAAAAACGAGAATTGTACGATCGAATCGGATGGGAAAAAATGCAATCACATATTGACGACAGTGACTTTCCGATTCCAGGATTTGCTGAAAATCGTAAGTTGCTCGATAAAGAATCAGATCAATTTCTAGATGAATATGCTTGTTTATTTTCAGTTTTTGATATATTCAAACAGAAAAAAGAGAGCTATATTAAACATTCATTAAAGTATGTAAACAGATTGATTTTTGTTTTCTTTAAATAAGATTTTCATTTTTCAGAGTATCTCTCGAAGAATTGTATTCGGGTGGTACACGAACAGTGTCCATTGATCGCAATATTGTTTGTGTCGAATGTAATGGGTATGTTCGGATATATTTGCTAGGCATCGATTATCATTTTCTACGGTTTCTTCTATTCATAGAACTGGTTGTCGTGATGGGGTCCCAAGCGTATGTAACAATTGTAAAGGAACAGGAGTTGAAACACTAATTCATGAAATGGGTCCAATGATTCAACACATACGATGCGCATGTTCGTTGTGTAATGGTGATGGTCAAATCATTCATCCGGAAAATCGCTGCAAAACTTGTGATGGCAAAAAACTATGTCAACAGAAGAAGGAATTGGATGTACATATTGCACATGGAAGTCAACATAGAGAAGCGATCAAATTTATTGGTGAAGGAAATCAAACTGTAGGTTGTTTTAAAATGTCTTTGTTGCTATTTTCGGATTATTTTCTATTAGCCAAATGGTGAAACCGGTACAGTATATGTTATTCTCGAACAAGAACCACATGCAACTTTTACTCGAAAAGATGATGATTTAATAATGAATATGGAAATCAATCTTACTGAATCATTGTGTGGATTTCAACGTACAATTACACTATTGGATGGGCACAATATTCTTATCAATCATCCTCATGGCAAACCAATTGTGCCCGATAGTTATCGTTGTTTAAAAGGTTATGGTATGCCAAACAGACATACACACACAAATGGTGATGTAATTATTCATTTTAATGTAAAATTTCCCGAAGAGAATTTTATTCAAACTGAAAATCAATTGAAAGTAAGTTGTTTATCGGCGAGCAACTTATGGTAAATTCTAAGTGAATTTCTTTTTCTTTATCTAGCAATTGGAAGAAATTCTTCCGCCAAGAATGGGTATGAAATTGGAAAGTGCAGAACATTATGAAGAAGTCAAAATGATGGAATATGATTCGTTTGAAGAGAACTCTCATCATGGTGATCCGGACTTCGATGGAGAACCAACTGGTGTTCAATGTGCAACACAATAGATCGATGACAAATTTTCCTCATTTTTAAATGCGTGAACAAAAATCATCCCCATTGATGAATATCTTTCATATTAATATTTCTTTGGATATTGAATAAATTCATGAGCTGATCCAGCAATCTTTTCCGAAAGTACATAACTAGAGAGGACTCGGAGCAAAACGCCTAGCGGAAAAAGAACTGTTATAAAATTATAAGGAGAATCAATGCAAATCAGTTGATAAGTTGAACGAACAAGAAGCGAGAACGAAAATGAAGTGTATTATAACTGCCGTAAAGATCATATTTTCAGTATGAAAGTTTATTTGTCGAAGAAGAGCGTATGAGCTTTCGGTATCCAACTGGAATCACCCGGTGAAAAATATCCGCTGATTTCAATCAAATTATTGTGCAGCAAAATCCAATCCACAATCGGATTGATAATTTTGATTATAATGGAACATCATTTAACCTAAATTTAATGCTATTGCCAGCCTAGTGAAAATTAGTTTAACTGAAATCGGATTGTTTTCCAGTAAAATCCAGATTGTCAATCGATTGATACTTCAGATTGTGCTACAGAACAATCAGATTTTAATCAAACTAATTTCCACTGGGCTAGCGATAAGCATCACGTGTGGGTTCAATGGTGATCGATTATAATCAAAATTATCAATCCGATTGTGGATTGGATTTTGTTGCACAATAATTTGATTGAAATCAGCGAATATTTTTCACTGGGTGATTCCAGTTGGATACCGAAAGCTCATACGCTCTTCTTCGACAAATAAATTTTCATACTGAAGGTATGATCTTTACGGCAGTAATACACTTCATTCTCGCTCTAATTATATTCACTGTCAAACAGTCCCACATAAAAAGCGAGAAAATTTTATTTTGTAGATATTATTCTGTTCGTTAAGATGTGATCATATATGAAGAAAAAAAGCATGACTCACTTATATTTTTTCCTCACATGGCGAAATAAATTGTAAGAATACCGTGGGCCATGAATGCTATGATTTTGAGGGTGTGGGTGTGACTCTTTTCGTTTTCAAAATACCCACACAATGACTTTCAATGAGTTATGCGTGAATAGATTAATAACACATGACATGAATTCATCAAGCAGTTCTTTTCCTGAATTCATTTAAAAAGAAAAATCTATAAATATTTCATACCGATATCGTCAGTTCTTTTTCAATGCAAGCGATAAGTAAAAGGTACACATTATATTTTTTATTTATAACTTTTTCTTTTCTTCGTTCGTTCGTTTTCTTTGATAGTATTGGTATGATTGAGAATTTCAACTGATTTTAATTTCTCTTTATTAAAAATAACGTAACGATTACACAATGTACAGAAAGTCAACGAAGATTTCAAGATTAGTATGTAACGTCTAATATGAAGATAGCGATATCGTTATTTTTCACTTTTATTCATGTGTTTGGCTTACTTGCTGATGGCGCAATATATCCGTATGGACGTCATTGCAGTCGGTAGTTTCTCCTTTCGTCAAGTTATCATTGTATATAAATAGATGTATGCGTTTGTTTCATAGTTTATTTCGATGTAAATGACTTCTAACACATGTATCGTACATTCTCATAAGAATGTATCTAAATTTCACACTGCCACTAAACAACTTCGTCTTGAAAACTGGTTTCCTGCTGATGTTTATCAACAGTTGCCCAACAAATGTTGTTCATGTAATGGAAAGCGAGGTAAATTTCATCAATTAATACATTTGTGAATGCACTTGGAGCAGTATATATTCGTTTTGAATTACTAGTTTCTATGTGTGATTTTCAATTTAGGCTTGAAGACAATCGATCTGGAAGTACTACGTAAAATATGTGACGACATAATGCTGTCAGCGGCTTCTACACTCAAATTTCGATTTTCATCAAATATGAGCGAGTTTGTTAAATTAATGAAGTCAAAAAAGTGTACTTGTTATCTAATTGCTATCTACATATTTAGACTAGTGTCAATGGAAGCATCGGAAGACAATTCTGATGAAGAAGATACCCATAATGAAGATACAACTGATGAGTTAGACGAGAAAATACCAAAAAAATCGAATTCCACAATTAATGCTGAATATAACAGGTCGCCAGTTCCAAGGTTCGGCTCCGTAAGTTGCCGATCGATATCAGTCGGCAAATACCCGAGTTTCACTATCACCAGTCCGAGTCTTCCGATGCATTGCGGCCATCGGAATCCTGCCTCTATGTTCCGGCCACGTCCGACGTTTTACAATCCGTATCACTCGACAACTCTTGACCTGGATACAGAAGACCAACATAAATCGTCCAAGAAAGGAATTATAAAACAAGACTTCTCAAAAGGTACGTCACTTATCTAATAGGGATGAAAATGTGGCAAAATTTGAAAGTATATTCTGGAGTAAAATATTAAAAATGCCCATGATAAATGCGAACAAGTCATATAGTCGCTATTTTATTTTCCCTTTTGCTGCTGTTCATTATGAATATAGATATTTTAGTATCGTCGTTGTTCTATTGATAATGCTCATAGAAATTAAGACCAGTCAAGTACTAATTCGCCTATTGTTGCTTGTTTTCAGTAGTACGAGAAAGAAGTCATTATTCTTGTTTTTTTTTCTAAATTTAATTGTAATTTTATCTGAAGCATTTCCATTAAAGCAATTAATAATACAATAACATAGATGAAATAGTAACTATCCACCAATATGTCAATAATCTAGACTGATCGACTGAAAATTTTATCTTTTTCTCATAGTGATTTCGCTGTACAGAGTAAAAAAAGCAGAATTGATCAACTTGAGAAATCTTTCTTCTTTTCTCAATACCGATTAGATAAAAATGAAATTTAATTATTCGATTTCGTTAATCATAAAAGAAGCCTTGAAGAATTTTGATTCATTTAACAGATTATTTTAACTACTTCTATTACATGGATTCCAAAAAAGACTGATACAGCTGTCATGTTTACGATTATTCGTAACTGTAAAGCCTTGACTTGTTACTTTGGTCGGTTTCTTTCTTTTACTCTATCATAAATTTCCATTATAGTTTTAGAAAACTTCAAAGTTACAACAGCAAACGATGGATGCATTGTACACAATTCTAAATATCAATCGAAATTTAATTGTGCTACTAATTTACTGCGACGTACAAAAGAATTTCAACAACAAACTTATCATGAATTGCCAAAGAAATGTTGCTCGTGTAATGGAAAAACAGGTAAATATCATTGATAAACAGGCTTCTGATTTATCATGACCTTCCTGACGTATTTTGTTTTAGCTTATTTATAATTTCAAGCAACAATATGCTCATTTTCCATTTAGGTATGAATATAATTGATCTGAATGTATTAAGTAGTGTGTGTGATGAAATCGAGTCAGATCGAGCCAACGAACCAGTATTAAAGAAACATGTTCATTTATTGACTCTTTCATTTGAACCGAACATATCTCGTTACATACGTCGAGCACGAACTGGTCGTTTTATTGGAAAAGGAGGTGAAAATGTTCGTGCTGTGCAAGACAAGTACAATGTTTGTCTACAACTTATCGACAGATCCTCTAATGAAAAGCGTTGTCAACGTCTCGATGAACTAAAAAAAACTGATGAAAAAGAAGATAACAAAAACAGGGATGCCCTCTACTTATTAGTTACGAGCAAAACAAAATCGATAACAAATACAATTCCCATTGAAGAGATCAAACAAGAAATAACTCAGAAATGGAAAGAGATAAATACAAACTATGTTCCTGCATCAACATCTAGTTTCAATCGTACTAACCCACGTAAACAAGGCCCTGCGCCGATAGCATCGATCGAGCCAATAGCCGATAACCGTTGGAATTCAAAACGGCATCGTCGTCGACAATAGATTCATTTAAAAAAGAATACATATGCAATACAAAATGCCTTACCACTGAACAAACGAATAGAATCCTTGCCTTTATTCAAAACTGTTTAAAAATTATCAGCAGCTACTCATTATTGAAAATAAAGAATTACATTAGTCATCCATGAATAAATAATTAGATTCTTGATGAGTTTTGAGTAAAATTAACGAGGGGACCCATAAGAACATGAGTCAGCCCATCACACTTTTTATATTGTAATACCGTTAAATCTTGCACAAATTGAAAGAAAAAAAAAATTTGCAAACACTTTAATATGAAATTCAAGGTACTTTAGTGTCGGTGTGTGGATGTAGATGAGAAGATGAATTGCGCACGCACATCCCGACTTCTTCTGGGTGCGATGTCGTGGTTACCATTTTTCAACAATATTACATTACTCAATCTGATAGAGTCAAATTGTAGCAAATGCTTTCATGATGTAGTGCATATACTTTTGTTGAGTTATGGTAGCATAGTTCACCGCTGCAGCATTCGACTACAGATTGAGAGGTCGCTGGTTCGAACTTAGATGTTCCTCAATCAATTACATTCTCTGTTTCTTTCCTTTTTTCACTCACTCAGCTGTACAATCAGTAGTCTGATTCCGAAATCCTTGAATAATCTGACGGCGTTGTCTCAGTGAATTATCTTTAAATCAGATCACTGGCCGAATTCAACAGCCAAATAATCGAATCCGGTCACAGTGGTTACATGAAACTAATTCAATTTTAGTTCAAGTATTAACTCGCACCATATGTTTGCCATTTAGAGGATGGTGATGCAAATATGTACCGCATTTTTGTTTTCGATCCCAGAACTATAATAAACTAGGATCAATGACTCTGGTAGAAAGAACGATGATACTGCATAGATAGAATTAATTTCATGCGTGCAATGCTCCAGTATTATTGATCTGATCCTCGCGTATCATAATCTAGATCATGATGTATCTGACCGCATTGTTGGAATCGGCAAAGATTGATCATCCAAAATTCGGATAAGATTAAACGTATACATGAACTTTTTCTCAAGCTTTCAAAAAGTACTTAGAACATTTTAAGACTAATCGAATGAAAAGAATCTACTCGATCAGTCATCTTCTAATATGTTGGACTACTTTGGAGAAGCGCCAAAGAGAGTGTGCCGAATGGCGTATTCTTTGTCAGACAGACATTCTCGAGGTGGAATGAACACATTTGGATCACTAATACCGCCAGAAACATCGTAGAATGAGTCATGAGTTATGCCATATTTGGGATGCATAGACGTGTGAGAGACTGGAAGACAGGCTTCATAAGTCCACGTGCCAATATAGTTGACAGTGTCATTCGATGGCGTCGTGTAATTGCCACCCCTATCCACAATTAACAATTTACATTGAATGAAAGCGGAATCAGTTAACTCACCAAAAAGTAATAAGCAGACCGGTACTTGGTGAGGCAGAAGAGCCTATGTATGCTTCGCCGTACGAGTGAGCATCTGGCCGGATAGAGAAGTCACGCCATGGTCGTGTAAGTGGAAGGCGTGAGCAATTTCGTGCCGTCAAGTTGATCACAAATTCGAGACGAACTTGAAATAAGGCGATAGTCTCGTAGTAATAGTCATCACCAATAACAACTTGTTCGATGAATCGTTCACGTTGATACACTGAATCGTAGCTCAACTTGCCTTGTACGGTAATGTTCTCATTGTTAATATGACTGAAGATACGTGCTTCCCATTGAGATGGAGATGTACAAGGTCGCGGTTGTTGAGCGACCACAAGACCAACCAAGAGCAGAAGCGCAATCGAAAGCATTTGTGTATTCGAGAGAGAAAAACAAAAACCGTTGACGATAATGAATCAGTTGCTCTTTATATCTCTGTTTATATGTAACTTACATGCGAAGATAGAACCTATTATCAAAGATGTTTTCAATAGTCCAGAGAGAAAAGGTCTAGTGCAAATATTCTTTCTATCAGCAAGATGATACACGCAAGAAACAGTGTGAGAATAGGTGGACACCAAGGGGAGATGTGAATGCACGTGTAGGTGTGACTGTTGTTTATCTTTTATCATTATCTACACCCATATCCTCACCCACACTCCACAGAACATGAACGAAATATAATATTCTGTGGATACGATGGGTAGAAGATACAATATAACGAATAAAATTTATTTTATTTTTCTCAGCTTTATTAAGTCATTTCGAACTACAGGAACACAACAATGATAGATATTGATGACAAAAGATTGGCAATTGTGATCGCAACTACTGGTGGAAAATTGATGAAAAATATGAAAAATTGGACCAGCTGTATCGAATTTGATAAATCACACAACAGGTTTATGTATATATCAATACCTAAACTCGTATATTCAAGACCACAAGAGTATAAAAACGCAATAGCATAGTTATAAATATATTTATTTTGTGATTTCATATTCATTTTCGACAGCATCATTTGATCAATCATTGGTACCATTAGATCAAGAGAATCGAACTCAGTCACAACATGATCTTTCTACTATTCTTACATTATGGAACTTAGTAGCTGATTTAATTCAAACAAATGATTAAAAAGATGATGAACAGGATATTGTGATTTATGTTGAAGGAGATAATAGTGAGCTAATTATCAATGATAATTTCGTAGTTAGTGTACAAAGTATCATTAAAACAAATTTCTATATATTTGATAAAACATATTTACCATCTGACATAAACAATTAAGCTACAATCGATTCAATGATCATCGTTCAAAAACACGCCCTCTTAGCCGCACGGAAGTGGTATGAGCACCATTTGAATATAGCAACTAGATTGATCACAATTGACCATTTGTTTTGTGCTAAACCTATTGCTATATATTCATCGATATCTTCTCAACAAAAGATGGTTGCAACAATTAATTATGCTTTTCGATTTTAATATTTTCCCATTATCAGCTCTAACAGATAAACATTCTGTTTCAGGACAAACGTATGTACATTAATCTTAAATATCATTTAATTATAGTTTTTGCATTGTATTTTTTCTATAGAGGTATCCTTAAAAATAGACCTGCATTAGGTGAACAAGCATCGGAGGAGTTGATAAACGATAGTTTATTAAATTCTCACTCTTTTGCTAATTCATCAGTGTTTTATTGATTAAGTTGAGTGTACAACAAGATGGAATAGACACTCATCGTGCGTCGTCGGGGTGTGGGTGCGAAAGATTTTTAAACAAGGATATCCACACACGTACTCACGCTCCTTAATCTTATGAAAAACGTTTCAAACATTATCTTTCTTTCTATACAAATTGAAATATTTGAAAACGTAATATGGACTTATCGACAACAAGCAAACAACAGAAAAATGGCTGTTTCCATGTAATATTAATAGTTTCTTCGTCTCTTCTCTTAGACAAAAACGTTTTTTTTCTGCAAATGATTAGCCTGTTAATTAAATATGTAAATTAAAAGTTACACAAAATACACATGCACCCATCAATTTATAGTCTTACAAGTTTACCATAATACTATGATTGAATATAAGGATGAGGATATGTGAGTGTGGTACGTAAGATAAAGTTAGATTCAAAGCTTAAATATGATGTTTCTTCTTTACTTATGAGGCTCATAAAAATTGCAAAAATAGGAGATCTCGAATCTGACTGATTCAGACAAACAAACAAACAAGCAGACATGCGCACATGTTTTTATTAGTGTAACAACTTTTCTTTCAGAAAAGAGAGTAATAAAATTTTGTCATGTTACTATGTACCTATTCATTTTTAAGATATCTGATGAATGTTTTAAGCAAATATGAAACGTTATATACTGGATTGAATCTATTTTACTTGAGTGTTTAATATATCCTCATCCTTAGATCTCCTTACCAATTCCTTTACTAGTTAAATAAATTTATAATCAGAGAAAAACTGTTAAGTCTTCTTTTACCATGTTTATTTTAGCAAAGACTCCTACGATAAAAAGAAATGAAAAAAAAACAGATTCAACAACAGAATAGAAAAACTACTTCCATAGGGACGAACTGATCAACATGGCAGTGAAGCGCTACTCTTTTTCAGTATTGCAGTTGCAACACAAACTTGAATTCCTTTCTACCATAGCAAACTAAAAGCAAGAGATCATCATGAGTAATACTTTTAATAATTCAGCGATGATTGTTAATCCGATATTAAGCACATTTCCTGCTGATCAAATCAATATTCAACCATACTGGATTGTCGTCCTTGGACTGCTCGTCTCACAATTCTTCCAACGAATATGGCATCAATTCAAACATCACACATGGTTCACAACCCTTGAGATAGCTGGTCTGATACTGATATTTCAACAGCGCTTATCAAATCAGAATACAAAAGAGAAGTGGGCTTCTGCTGTTACAGTCCAGCCGAATAATAGTGGTAGGACGATTAACATGAGATTATGCACAAAAAATGAATTAATCTTAATGACCATTCCTCTTCGAATAAGTATCGCAGCTTCGTTGGTTCTGTTTTGTGTTTAAGGAATCGATTCTTTACAATAACGCCTACGAGCTAAGCTAGATAGACCCACTTCACATTAGATTCAACTGAAAATTCTACAACGATATTAGGATTATCTTGAATTTGATCGAAAGGAAAAATGTCGAAGCTGAGGTGATACTTCCATACATTTTTTTTCTTTGTGAAAATGAATCAGCCAGTAGACTTAATTAAAACAAAACGTTTATTATTAAAAGAAGAAGACTGAAAGACAGCCTAAAAGGTTTTTGGGAATGATAGTTGATCCATCTTTAAATAATGTTCTATCTGCTTGATTAAAACTTCTTTTTTTTTACCACAATTAACGATAAACGTTTAAAGAGTTCACATGCTGTAATGAGATAATTGCAATATCTATCATACAACACGTTTATTCGACTTTGTAATACTGTTGTCCTTGTGTCTTTCGGTTTCGATGTACCAGATGATCACTCAAGTTTATACCTTCTTTATTCGAATTAATGAAATATCAATCATCGTTGATGATAGATATTGAATCAGAAGGGGCTCTCACTTTTATCTTGTTTCTCGAATAATGAATGATTGAATATTCTTATTCGTATTCTTCTTTGTTCATTTCTTTGTACTGAATGAACAATAGTGTGATAGACGAATGATAAATTTATAATAAGATAAGTTAATATTCATCGCGAAACAATGCCATCCTCATCACACACATTTCCAAACAGTCTTCATTTAAACTTCCCTTTTTTTACAACAAAGTTTTATTTCAATGTTCGTATTTTCGATATTCTTAATTCCGACCAAAAATTCAAGTTTACCGATATTAGAACGTATATAAGTGAATCATTCTGTCATTTCGACGAGTCTCATTCAAAACATGACAAAATGATTTTCAGTTTTGAGTTTCACATTTCAACGAAAGGAAACTCTAGAAAAAAAGACTCAGGATTATTGCTCTGCGATATATACCATGTCAAATATAATAGGATTGTATGAAAATCTATCCACAATGAGGCTTTCATTTATGAACAAAAACGCTATTTTCTGCAGTGACATTTAGTAATTTTCTTCTTACGTATACTGAATAGTGTGAAATATTTCTAATAGATAGCCTGTCGATAATCTAAGTTTAAATACTGGCGTTGAATATCTGATGATTCCAAGATCTTTGAACTGATTTAAAATAGTGTCCAAAATCACGTTAGTGACGCTAATTCAACATGAGTAAATTCGGTAGTAACAATTATTGAATATATTCTTTTCCAAATCTCACTATGTTTCTTCGATTCTCTCTGAAATAATATTCTAAAGGCGAGCATCATCTATCAGCGGAATAGGCCAAAAGTTTCGAATATTACTATCGGATATTCGCATATTCTCGTTAAGTTTTCACCAATTTTAAGGTCTAGTGGCATTCTTCAAGAGAGAATCAAGTTTAGAGAATCAGGATGATACTTAGCATTCATGATCTAGTGTTTCGCCCTTCATTAATTCACTAATGATTTACATAACTTGTTGCAAAAAGCGCTCAAAAATACTTTATTATCTTTTTCTCTTACATTGTACGTTGTCAATAGGGGGAACAAATGGTGGCTTGCAAAGCGATAGAGATCGTCTCCAAAAGTTACGTAGTATGCTTGTTGTCGATTTTTTCGATGCCATCAGCTGTCTCATGACATTCGGTCATGCTGTCTGGTATTGTGTAATTCAGTCGACATGTAGCAACTCGTCATCGTCAATAGCAACACCCTGGAACTGCTACAATGCTCTTGGGTATCGTCTATTCAACTACATTTTTGTTTCATATTTTAGTACACTATTGGACTGTGCTTACAAAGGATACGTACTAGGCTTTTCCGAAATCATAAAAACCGATGCTAAGCGAGGCAGCTTCTCCTGGATAATGCATTACGCTACGTTGATTGTTATAGCTCTGTCACTTATATTCACGACTTGCATCCTGTTGCCTTTTGTTCTTACAAATCTTTTGCCAATGCTGGTCATCTACGTTTGGATGTGCATAGTCTATATTGGATTTTGTATTTATATTACTGTTTCTGGTTTCAAAGTTTACAAAAACATAAAAGAATTACCAGCTAAAATTAGTAAACAAGACGATGCTGCAAATAAGGATTCAGGCCAACTAGAATTTTGTTCTTTTATGTTTACTTCTAAGGAAATACCACACGTGGGATTAGCTATGCTGTTAGCACTTGTAATATCAACATTCCCAATTCTTTTATCAATTTTGTTCAACTTTTCACAATTTTTCTACTATGGTGAATCCTACTTGAAATCAATTAATGATGATTATATCTCGCGCGATACATCGAATTATTTTAATCTACTTAAAAGTTCAACGCAACAAATTTTGCACATGGTATTGAACTTTCTATAAGAATGATGCCTTTAATAAACAGTTCATTTTTCAAACCTTGACGAATAAAAGTGAAAATCATCTGCCGATTATATAACGACTAAATCGCATTTTAAGGCACATAACATGTTCATTATTACAGAATCATTGATTTAGTTGGAGTTCTGATCGAAACGGTTTTTATTTTATTTACATTAAATATTAATTATATTAGTAAGCGATAATACTTACGGATTCGCATTATTTATATTTTAAGCTCGAGCTGATACACATAGGATTTCATTTAAAATTTAATTATATTAGTTTTATTTTTCTTTCATAAAAATGTTCTAAATAAAATAATGCTTAATTAATGTCAACAATTTAATATAAATATCAAGTTTCAAGTAGATGCTTTACGTTAAAATTTTAATGAATATTAAGCATCATTCTTTGATGGTGGCTATAGCTATTCAATGCATTTTCTTGAACCCCTTTCTCAGTGTTGTATACTACGTGCTTCATCTTCATCGTTAAAGAATAACATTTTGAGAGACTTTGAGTGAGTAATCGAAAAAGCAGCCGAGATGGCAAAAATTCTGGGCTCGCCGTATAATAAAATTGTAAGTAATTTAAAAATTATATATCCATCTTATTCACATCTATTGATTATTCTTTATCAAGTGTTCGAATAATCTAGTACAATATTTGGTTTACAGACGCATAAGAAGTTGATAAATGTATTGCCAAAATTGATTTATTAAAAGAGACATCGAATATATTACTTATTATCGCGAACGATTTTTCGAAGAGCATGCTATGCCTTTGTTGAATGAAAACTATTTTACTAGTAATTGGCGGACTGTGCTATGTCAATGCTTGTTTCGAATGTGATAAATAATCCGCTCCGTGCGATTGTGGATTAAACAATGTTGAGATCAACACCGATTTCACGTATAGTAAAGAGGTGATGTCGTATAGTTGGCCAATGGCTGTTTCACAGAAATATGATTGTCATCGTAATGGTATTGTTCACATGCATAATTGATCTCAACAGCAGTGAATATTTCGAACAATTGACGAAATATACATCCATTCAAGCTGGACATCACTTCCAGATGGATCTAAGAATGATATTGCAGTAATTCACCTAACTGAATGGTTTGATTTTGTTGTCAACAAGTTCATCGCTCAAATATGTCGCCTCCCTCGTCTAAAATTGCCCACAGATTACATGAAGCGATCGCTAGACGATACCTTTTTGGCCACTGTTGGATAGAGCTAAACTCAAATATCGTATTTTTTAGTATTACAGGTACTACGGCAGACAACTGTTTATGCAATTAATTATTGACATTTGATATGTGAATCGCTAATCAAGAATTGCCGAAGCACAGTTCTGCGCAAGATTACAGAACAATTATACAGGTGGAATACTGCAGTGGTATTTCATATGCTATGTGTCACCGATTCTTTGTCGCTCTCTTTTTTTGAGATTCATACAGAAGTAATTATTACTAACTTTTACAATTCTTTAATTTATAGTAACACAACATTTATGCGATTCAGACACTCCTGCTCTTCAATAGATTGGGGACTATTGGGAACAACTCAAAATTGTCTCATCTAGTATGTTAAACTCCTTATCTGATAATCGTCAAAATGTTTTTACACGAACCGCTTCGTTCTATAATTGAATTGAATCGATTGTGAGTTCAAAAAAATCAAAGAAAAACACTATAGAGGAAGAGCGAACCGACAGTTACATCAATCTTTAAACGATATCCAACTCATTATAGATACAATAGAAATACTGTGTTATGTGGATGCAGTCTTGAACCGGTACAACTTTCATTATAAAGAGTTTTCAGTGACGTAAATGCAATTCCTTACAGTTGGTCGAGAAACAGCCAAACATGCCCCCAACTACTCTGACTATTGCTGCTCGTATCCATGAACATTTAGAAAGTGGAATAGAAATAATAGAAGCGGATAAAATCTATATGCATCCAGATTTGGTTGGCAGTTCAGATGGATATCAGAGTGACATTGCTATTCTAAATTTGTTAAAGTCACTTAGCATTGAGACTGGTCCGTTTTTAAAACGTACTTGTGTACCATATTTCAATGGGTGTATTGATCTGACACAGTATCCGCTAAACAATACTCGTCTAACTGTGGTTGGATGGGGTGGGATGCAGCAAGGAACAAATAGCTTATCCGATGTTCACAACAAGCAGAAGTTCTTGTTATTGGCAGCAATGATTCGATATGTAAATTATTACTCAGACACATGGAGGGCGGATGTGAATGCGCGTGTAGATGTGGCTACTGGTTATCTTTTATCATTATCTACACCCACACCCAACAATAGGCCAATTTAGCTGCATCGTATAGTAATATATACCTAGCCATTTTATAATGAAAGCTACTTGCGAAAACATAGAATAATAAACCCTTCACAGTGGAATAAGAGACGATTTCACCTAACCATATATTAATTCACCCCTGATTGCTGTATAATATATGTCGTTTTGATAAATACGTAATTAATCTACTACTATTCGTTTAGTAATAAACCGTCTAAATTTAGAAAAAGAATATAAAACGCTTAAAAAAGATTCATATACCCTTAGAATATTTATATGCCCTTACAAGCATAAACCCTTGAAGGGTTGACACAATAAATATTCAAGGGCAATGGTTGACCAGTTAGCCCTTTTTTTTACAGTGTTGGAGTGTAGATTGTAGTGTATATTATGCTTTGCACTTGTACATCAACACCCTTACGTATATAACCTTCGCCGAATCTATCATGTGCCATTACCATCTAGCAATCATTATATCAATTAATCATTTCCTTTATGAGAACATCGTTTCTGTATAGAAATCATTATTGTTGAATCGGCACTGTCCAATTGACGCTTCTTTCCAACAAAATATGGGAATATTATTTCGACGTATCCTGTTCGTCAAAAATCATTCGATTTATTGCATGACTACATAAAACATGAAACTATCGATTTAAGCAATAGTATATATTAATAATTATGAATTATATTCATTATTTCCATACACACTATTCTTGCATTTTCTTCTCAATTACTTTCAGAATACTTGTCGCGGTATTCAGCGAAACAAAAAATGTAGCCACCTTAAAGTGTATCACTAATGAATAAATGTACATAAAATTTTTCCAGTATGTGATCACACCAATGATATTGGGTGAAAATAAGAACATCGTTCCTTTCAAAAGCCTTTCAATGAAACCAGTTGAAGTGTTTAATGAAGTAGAATCATATGAAAAATATGTTTACTTCAAGAAATAAAAATTCTATTTTCATTTTCAGGTAGTAACATACACAACATATAATAAATTATGATTATAACACAAAATTTCTTATTGTTGCTGTTAGGTAAGAAAGTGCTCCCTTTATGCTTTAGCTTAGATATCAACTAAGTTACTTTTGATTTGAATTTCAATCTATCTTGGAAGCTGTATATTAGTAATAGCAGCAGAGCTATAACTAAGATTTTAAATAATTCTAAAATCGACAAAAGATTATTAACGATGCTTGAGAATTTTAAACATTCAAAAGAAAATCTCAAGCTAATCTCAATATTGAATGTCAGATTAATGCAAGTAACAAGTGTCCTACAGTTTTCACCGTTCGAACAAAAAGTCCGATAAACTATAAGAGAAAAATATCTATTTTATTCAAGGATGGCTTGTAGAATTCTCAACTATCAGCATTCACTTCATGATCGATTAATTGCTTGATGATATACAATAAAAAGTTTCAAAAATTTATTTCTCGAATTCTTTGCAACGAGAATAAGCAATTGGCAGAGGAAGAGACGGACCACCAACCCTGGGCGCCAGAAAATAAAAGTTCTCTTGCTAAGAATATACGTAGATTATAGTTTAATAGATATAATCATACAGTGTTTCGCGAAAAGTTAACTATGTAATTATGGCCTGCACTTGTACTTACAATGCCACAATTTTCTTTTATTTTCCTTATTAGGAAAGTAATCACATGTCAATAAAAGATTAACTTGATACTGGAGTCATAGCATAGCAGTCTTTTGCTCAGTCATAATATATCTATTTGCCCTTGTAATTTTTTACGAACTTTATACGGTAGCTCGGGAGGCTCACTATTAAAGAAAAAGGTTTGAAAAATTCTTATTCTTGTATATTTCGATCAATAATGCCACACAAGCAATGTCAGGACTCCGGATTATAGGAAATAAAAATGAATTTTGACATTACCGCTAATAGAAGTTTCGACTTGGAAACTACATGTATCTTTCTTAGTAATGCAATATTGATTATTTTAAATTAAACTGATTCAAATGAGGAATATAAAATATAGTGACGACATTCATTTTCAGTTTCAACGCTATCTAAATGTGCAGCTTCCCGATTATCGAAATTTTGAAGTTATTTTGCAATTTTGTATTTACGTCGAATAGTATATGTCGTTTAAAACTCGTGATGTAGCAGCTTTAGATCGCTGTGTAGCAGAATTGAAACACCGCCACTAAACGCAGCATGACCGATCAACTCGATTTTGATTTTGTTAGAACCATTTCGATTCGAACTGGGTAGTATCATAGTTCTTGGAAACATATCGTTAACTTCTGAATCAAAGATGCTAGTAATAGCAGTATTACATACGTTCAATGAAGGAAAATAAAAACTTTTTTTATCAACTGACTATTTTAACCGTCTAACGCGAATAGAGAATCTTCTCATAATATAATTTTTGTTAAAACTCCATGAGGCTTTTATACGAATGACAGGGACGCAACTAATGGACGAGAACATGGACAATTAAGTATTTCATTTGGAGTTTTTGTCATTGTAAGTTTTTTTTTACTAAACTTTTGCCTATCGTTTTTCCGACACAAGAGAAGTTCGCCGATTGGTCTTAAAATCCTAGTTAAGCCGCTGATGACTGATAATTGATGAAAATACACATTTTCACCTAATACTAGACCTACAAGAACACTTTTTTCCTGTCATGAAAATCGTAAATCCCGCATTATTTATGCCTCGAATAGACTCAACTTGTATTTCATTCGGAGTATTCTCTTTTGAAATCATGATTGGAACATTTCAAATCTGTTTTTTTTTTCAAATAGAAATGCACTGATCATCAGTCTGAAGATGTCTTCATATAAACATTTTATTTATGAAGAAAAGTAGTATGATTACTTTTTCTAAAATTTATTAAAATCTTTGTAGCGGCCGCACTGCTATCAACCGACTCATCTAATATTACAATACTTGGTCGAAATGCAAAGTCATCGCCTAATATTAAGTTGTCAGAAGTTTTTGTTAAGTATCAAGGATCAGACTCCTTTAATACAGTACTCAGTGGCAATTTTGTTTTTATACCAAATTTGAGCAAAGCATTTGTTATTACACAGCCAACATTTTTCAAAATAACATTTCAAGGTTGTATTTATAATGGCGGACAATACTTGCAACAGTTTGTTCAAATAATTATTAATGATTATTTGATTCTTGCTAATAAATTAGTGCCGAATACCGTTCAAAGAGTTAATTATGGTCTTGGTTTGGCTTTAAATGATGTAGACACGATTGGTGGTATATATTTCGCGACTAATCAGTACTATTCAATTACACCAATTACGCGAATTGCTCACGTATATTTACCAGCTGGAACATACATATTTGGTGTTGGTACAAGAAATGACAGAAACACAGGCGAAATTAGGGGTGGTATTGTTACGTATGAATCGACACAATTTGAAAATGATCGTTTACAACAAGTTGGCGATTATAAGCTTGCTATATTTCCTAATTGAAGTAATTATTTTGAGAAATGAATGAGCCCCTATGAAAATGGTACACGAAACGCGTTGTACCGAAATAAAATTTCCTCACTAGAACTCATACAAATGGATTAGTCTCAAATCAAGTTAAGTGAATGTTCATGTTTAGTGTTGGCGGAGATTAGGGTGGGTGTGAGTGTCGTTCTGTTTAAGTGTTTACGATGTCTTGTGAGGTTTCAGCAAGGTTGTTGTCATGGTCTGACTAGTGGGAACATACGTAGACGTGGCTATTTGGTCGTTCTCGTGAGAATGTGAATGTGGGTGTAGAAGTGAGGGGTTAGTCATCTAGTATTAGGTCACATGCAAACCCATACACCAACATTTCAGCCATAACATAGAACTCACCGTAGCGGACGACTCCAATTTAAAAAAACAAATCTTTGTGATATCACTAGGGCGTACTGATTTCATATTGAGATGATGTTCGAAGTAAAACGGAAAGAAAAGAATGAAGAATAAGGAAAATAAATATTTCGTTAGTGCTTGGTATACAAGATGCAAGCGTTTGTTGAGAGACAGCTTGAACTCAAGAACTACCAAGAACAATGAAGTTAACGGCTTCCTTTTTTTTGGAAGTGTACACACATTTATTCATACTTCTGCAAATTGTAAGATATGCATTGCTGAATATCGATCAAATCCAAAAGTAATGAAAATTAATCACCAAAAATTTGAAGTAGCGTCATTTGAGTGTCATCTATTGCTACAGAAGTTCGTACTGCATACCCTGGAAGTTTCCAATTGGATTTCATGATAAATGATGAAGGTCTCTGTTTCTGGAAAGATAAACACTCACACCCTGCTCATAATGATTTTTTTGTCTTGTCTGTTAACGACTAATACTAGCAAAAGATATATCATAATGTTCAGTCTCTTTTAGAGCGAGTCATTATGTAGATGATAGACCATTGATTTAGGAAGAAAGTCTAAGAGCCCTTGTTCTTCAGATATTCTGTCTTCCAATAGGCACTCAAATGAATCTCATGAAAAGGGTGTGTATATGACTAAAGAGAATCTAAACTCTTATATTTCATTCTCTAATTGCTATGAAATTTGTTGTGCTTCTTTTGGAAGCGAGCTGTCGGATTTTATTTTTATCTTTTACGTGTAGGTACTTGAAGTGTCACAACACTTTAAGCACAAATTCAAACAAGAAAATTAAGAATCACAGTGTACAGAATCTATGACATCAATAGTTCTATCGTCATATAAAGTAATCTTCATGTTCGGTCGAAATCCACAATTCTCATGGGCATATCCACGTTGATTGCTCACTATTCTTGTAGCATTCATGGTCAGATCAGTCGACCGATGTGTATGTCCGTACACCCACAAACGAACAGGATCGACACAATCCGTATCATGATCGTTAACGAAAGCATCCATTAGGCCATACTCTTCATCTTCTGTTGAGCAAGTGTCATGACGAGAAGGTGCGTGATGAGTAATGATGACCACGTGTTCCTCATTGTTGCGTGCCTTTTCTATCTCTTCACGCAACCAAGCAAGTTGTTGAGCGTGCCATTCGTTTGTGTCATCCACTGTGATTCGACGTTTGCTTGTGCTTTTCCCATCTTTTCTCTCAACCCTGATCGAAATAAACCTATAATCGTTGAGACATCGACCTATTCTACTAGCGCTTTCTCGAGGAACATGAGTCCAGAGTGTAGTACCGAGTATCCGTACACTATTGGGAAGAAGATAGCTTTTGTTATGTAAGAAATGAATGCGAGAATCGAGTTTATCGAGTTCTTGCAGTTGTTGAAGGCGGTCTTCATATTCACCTTGGTAGAAACAATGGTTTCCAGCCACAAAAAAGATATGTTCGAATCTTTGGCACTGAGCGAGTAAGAACGTTTGTAAAGATGGCACATCTGGTCTTCCAATGTCGCCGGCAAGTATTAGAACTGGTGCTACGGCTGAAAATTCGGGAGGAATTGCATTGTCGAATTCCAAATGCAGGTCACTCATGAGCATTGTTTGAAAAATTGCTTTAGCTTCAGATTCGGGAACTTTCTTTGCTGTTTGATTATCCATATGTAATTAGAAGAGTTTGAATTCTAAAGAGAGGCGAACAAAAATATTTTTGCGGATTATTATCAATTCCTACGGCAAAACTTTTCTTAATGTTACATAGTTTATATCTCATTCGAATCTTAGATGTGCTGCAATATAATCACAAAATCAATACGTGAGTCCATCAACAATGAGCAAAATATGTGATCGCAAACGTAAGACTTGACGAAACGTACTCAGAACTTTGGTTCGATTGAAATCTATTCGAGGAATGACTAATTTTGATCGAAGGTATGGTGATTCATTAACACGTAATAATTGTTTACAAATGATTTCAGATCAACCAATAATCGCTTGATCATTAATGATGAACAAGTTTCAAGCTTTAGCATAGTTAACTGTTTTTGCAAAACACTTCAAAACGTTTGAAGAGAAAAAGGAAAATAGATTTTTGTTTTGCAACTATGTATTTAGTATGAATGTTTAATTTTGTCAATATTCAGTAGTCACAAAATATAAATAAATCGAACGGAAGGATAAAAACAAAAACAAAAATGATATGACAAACACAAATATTCCTATACGAATTCTAAATCTGAATGATCTAATCATGTGTTATTTCTAATAGTGTGAAGTAAATTTATCATAACGATGTTAAGTGGTTCTAGAAATAATAACTCATTATGCACTAACCAAAATACGGCATCTACGTCGATTCTACATAAATAATATTCTTTAGAGTCAACCAAAGTGAAGGTACTTCACTTTTTTCTCGATGAATGCTTTTGCATTCATTTGACGACTGTTTCAGACACGCCTGTCAGTCTGCAATTTTACTGTGCACAATATTTTTATGAAATAAAAGTTACGCTCACGTTACACATAATTGTAGCACTTCGAAAAAAGTATTATTCAAGTTTTTATCGACGAAAAAAACAAGTATTCATTTTGAATCTGATAGAATCACCATACATTTACTCACTTGAGAATAGCCAAATTATTGTTTCTTCAGAAGGAATGAAAAAGAAACATCGGAGACCTCATTATAGTTATGTATAATAAGAGAAAGAAAAAGAATGGCGGCAATGACATTCATACGACAACACCATGACGCTACAATAACTTTCGCAATTTCCTTTGTGCCAGCGCCATCATGAGTCATGGGTGACAAAAATTTTACTAACTATGCATGCGCCAAAACAATGATTTGCAACCTCAAATATTTCCCATTATTCTGTACTTTAAAACAGCATACTATACAATATGTAATGTCACAAATGAAAGATGAATAATGTGCAACGAAAGATGTGAAAGACTGTAACCTATCTAGAATCGAACGGCCTCTATAAACTCTATCATCTGGCATAAGTTAAAACCGGATTTATGTATATACATATGTTTCACCACCAAATAACTGAAAGCATGATCTATAATTTAAGATCTTCCGTTGGTAATTCTCTCTTTTAAAAGCATACAGAGGAAGCAGTATTCTGCTAATGGCGATGAATGAGTCATCCACCAACTATTTCAAATGGATTTCAAAAGTTTCAAACACAGTTGACAGTCGACCTCTATCTAATTGTCGACGGTATTCTAAAAAGAATTTATACTTGCTTAGAAATTTAAGTATACCATGTCAATTGATATTGATAACTCGCAATTGGATATTGACAATCTACTTGAGCGGCTGCTCGAAGGTCTGTTCAATATTATCTTTTTTTGATTAATACTCATAGTTAAATTTTCCTCTTTTCAAAGTGCGTGAATGTCATCTACCTGACAAGTTTGTTCAAATATCCGAACAGGAAATAAACCTCTTGTGTGAAAAATCGAAAGATGTCTTCCTCAGTCAACCAATGCTTCTTGAACTGGAAGCTCCTATCAAAATATGCGGTAATATTATTTACTAGTTCTCAAGCTATCAATAAGTTAACATCTGCAGACTTGCAATTTTTCATCGAGACGTTTGAGAATATTTGAATAACACGTTCATTCGGGTATCTTTCACGGATTTTCTTTGATAGGCAATATTTACGGTCAATATACTGATTTGCTTCGTCACTTCAAATCTGGTGGCTTTCCACCTAAATCCAACTATCTATTTCTTGGTAACTATATTGATAGAGGTAGACAATCTTTGGAAACCATCTGCCTTTTGCTCGCTTACAAAGTTTGTTAACTTTTTGCACAATCTAGGCCCTATACATTTGTTTTATTTTTGTTAGACAAAATATCCTGATAACATTTTCTTACTAAGAGGGAATCACGAGTGTGCCTCAATCAATCGTATCTATGGGTTTTACGACGAATGTAAGTATTGATCACATTTTCTACTACAGATACAGTGGTAAAACTATATCTGAAGGAGTTGTTATCTCCTGATATTCGCCTAAGACCCAGCGAATCTTATTTTGATGTTGCATATGCACAGAATTAGATCGAAAGTTTTTGACAATTGTTTCCATTGATACCTATAGGCAAACGACGGTACAACATCAAATTATGGAAGTCATTCAATAATGTAATTTAAATAAACTCTTTTTCGTTGATAAAAATTTCTGTGCATTATCTGTTCAAGTGTTTCAACTGTCTTCCAGTAGCTGCTATTGTGGCCGGCAAAATGTTTTGTTGTCAGGGAGGTAATACTTGTTTTTTTTCACATTCAATATTTATTTATTGCTTTATTGACTGAAGGCCTTTCACCTGATCTCCATAGCTTAGAACAAATTCAACAGATCCAACGACCGATCGATGTGCCCGACACTGGTGAGGAGTACCTTCAATTCTTTTTAATTTATTTTGCACACTAAGAACTCGCTGTAATAGCATTGATGCTCTTAGATGGTATAAGACTGAATAACAAAGCAGATAAATAATCAGAAAATCGAATAAGTAGATCATTCTCATCATTATTTGATTTGCGTCGCCTAGGTCTTCTTTGTGATCTACTTTGGTCCGATCCGGACAACGACTTGAAAGGTTGGAGTGAGAATGATGCCGGCATTTCGCTTAGATTCGGTGTTGATATAGTAAATGAAGTAAGTTATTAAACAAAATCCTTCTTCAGTCTTTTTTTTATAAATGCTATCATATCAGTTTTTGAATCAACATAAGATGGACTTAATTTGTCGAGCACATAAGGTAAGGCAGTCTAAACAATTTTTTGCATATGTTGCTTCTTTTTAAAGGTCATCAATGATGGTTACGAGTTTTTCGCTGATCGCCGATTGGTCACTGTCTTTTCAGCTCCAAACTATCTTGGTTCATTCGACAATGCAGGCGCACTTATGTCGGTCGACAAAAATTTAATATGTTCATTTATGGTATTATGCATTTCTTATTATCAATGATAAAGAGATATTTCTTCGACAGTCGTCAGTTCTTGTTCCGACATAACCATGTCTTAATTTCATCTTTCCTGATCAAAAATTTCAGATGGGTCTTTCGAAAATAATTTGCCACTTCATTTTTTCTGTTTCGGTCTAATCTCAAATCGCCACTCATCTTATGTTCTTTCTCTTTATAGATTCTTCATTCAAGCAGTGACCAAGCTAATGAGTCAGACGATAAGAATCTAGATTCGGACTGTCAAGCCCAATCTGTGAGTGGAAATATGATCAGTCCACCTGTGACTAAAGTGGATAGTTGTCAAAAATGTGTGAGCTGGTCTGATATGAACGACAGTGCATCCCCTCAAGAATGAACACTAAACACATCTTACATAACCAACATTTATTCGCTTGTTTCTGTGATTTATAGTCGTTAAGTGTCACATAGAGAAAAATAACATGTGTTAACTTAACACAACGCAATTTACTTTTTGTTCAATGATTTCTATGCGAACAGATAAATACTTTTAGTAATATTTAAAATCATCCATCGATAATGATGAATGATTTACAGATAGTCTCAATTTTGAGTAAACAGAATAAACACTTTCAGAGCCAGCTTCGTTACTAAAGAACACTTTTTTTCAAAAGATAGGGGACATGTTAGGGCTTGAGGGTGTGGGTCTGAGTATGAAAAGAAGACGCATAGTCACACTCACACTCAAAACTCGATATGTTTTCTTGTCTTCAGTAGAATCTTTCCAAAATCGGTCGTTTCTCATCCGCAGTAATCTGATAACTCTCTTAATACGACATCCAGACAAGTAGCTCGATCTTCGCACCTGCTTATAATAAATTTATTATGATCAAATTGTTTAGAAATGTAAGTGTTTTTACAACAAAGTATGATTCAATTGAACTTGAGTTGAAAAATAAAACGACTTATTATGCGTTCTCGCCATTGATTCGTTGTTGTTTTTTCTGTTCATGTGCCGCATTTTTCAGGGCTTTCGTGGCTGAGTGCAGTTGACGCACACCGAATGAAGAATGCTTCTGCCAGCCACGAGGAAATGTTTCGTCTTCGAAAAACAATTTGGCATCTTCAATACTGATGCGCCCGTGTTTGCCCAAGATGTGTAGAAGAATCGATGCTTCCGTCCACATGGCTTTCTCAATGTTTTTGTTCCACAAGAACTCTGGATTGTTCGCTTTGCTATCTACTTTAAAATACAAGCGAGCAGCAGCTACGTCATTCGTAGTCAAGCACTTGCCATCTTTGGAAAACGACAAAAATGTATTGAACCGTTGTTGATTGAAATTGCCCTGTTGATTGTTGCAAAGGGCTGCGTCTAGCCTACTAAGAGAAGCATCGTGTTCAATACTCTCGGGTGCGTGGTAAGAAAGATCGGATAGCGAGAGCAAGCCGTTCTTTCCAACGGTCTTGTACGCTTGTCCAATAATGCTTTTGGCAGCTATCCAACTCAATCCCATTTTCTCCTGTGTAAAAAGATGACCTTAACCGAAAATTATAAGAAAGCATACCTGTAAGACAATCTGCAACACTTCAGGCCGAATGTTCTTGCCATCTCGTGGCAAATAGCCATGATTAGCTAGAGTGTTTAGTGCGGGGCAAGGCGAACGCGAGTCATATGGCCCAGGTGCTTCATATCTATACTGCGTCTCGTCAGCGAA